TAACGCTACACTTAGTTTATAGAACCCCGTGTTGGAAACGTTTTGTCTTGTGTATGTTTGCATTTGGGATCTCTACTTCGGAGGTGGTTTTGCTTTGCGTATGTATAACTTCTGTGGCTAAGAATGTGCTTTCTATTGTTTATGACTGCTCTTGTGAGCTTCGTTTGGAAAGTGTTCTGTCTCGTGTATGCGCATGTTTTTTGGAATGTTCGTATTTGCTTTGGGCTCCGAGCCTTTTGATTGGTGCTAAGAAAACCCCTCTTGATTGGTCCTTCCAAAATTATCTGATTGGTGGACTGGAGGACCCCAGAATGCTGCTGAACCCAATATAAGCGGCCACCGAGGGGCCGTAAGGGACTTGGCTCCCGGATACCAAGCCCTGGGCATCTCCCTGCCTCTGGAGGCCAACCTGTACGTCCGACCCACTTCGGCTGTGGAGTCTTCCGCCCGCTAACTCGCAAACTTGGGACCCCTTACGGCTGTGGAGGAGTTCGGCTCGCCCGCCTTTGTGTGGATCCTTGTTTGCCGAGTTTGGCTGTGGTCGGGGCACCCGCTGAAAGTGCGGTCTAGGAGGACGGCAGGGGAAGTCGCCAGAGATAGAATTATTTTCCCCCAAAGTCTAATTTCTTGTGTGTGTATTTTAATGTTTAACTTTATGCCAGTTGTTCAATAAATCTTTATTTGGACTAATCGAACGAAGTCTACAAAGGCCCCATTTTTATGCGACAATATGTTACTCGGTGGGCGTTGCTTTTTGATGATTTGACATGATGGACGCAAATGAGGATATTGTCATCCGCGTTTTCGAACCGCCAACCTTGCGCCTGTGCACGAATGGCAACTTTAGCGCGCCATCGCGTTTCCCGTTTGGTGCAATTCTTTCTCAAATTTCCTGATTTAGTGGTTTTCCATGACTCCCGGCAACTTTCTAATTTTAACAAAATGTCTATTTTCAATAATTAAAGTAACGATTAGCCCCCTATATAATGTCCCCCTGGTCGTGTGACTTACGTGATTCGTTCCATCAGCTCGTAGCATCGGCTGCGCCTGGAATTTAAGGGGATACTAACCGAAATTTGGATTTCGCAAGATAAGGCCGCAGAGGCGTTGAACCACCAACCCCAAAACATCACTCATACATCCATACCTCAAACGAATGGCCGTACTCTTGGAAAAGAAGGGCGTGGTCCAGCGAGGTCTTTGCTGTCATTGTCCGCCGAGAGAATTTGAGAATGAGGGGAAGCGGTTTCGCTTCTCTCCTCTTCGCTTCCATTCACCAGCTCGACGGGGCATAGCGAGAGGTAGAGGGAATGAAAATCGTGACGTGTCTTGTCACTGGTCGGCTGTGTTTCAATCGCGCACTTCCTTTCCAAAATTACGGCGATCCGTTAGAGATATCGCTGTATGAGTGATGTTTATGGGTGTTGCTGTGTCCCGCCTGCGGCTGTCAGACTTAGGATCGAATAAGGTTCGAATCCCGCTCTACCCGGATCTTACTTTTATTAGTTCTGTACTGTTCTAAGCAATCCCAGCCCATTCTCGGCTGTCATCGAGTGTTCTTGTTCAGAACATTCCAGAACCTGCCGCGTGAATAGACCGACACGCTGTTTCCAAACAAGCCCGCGTTTGCCCACACCAGGTGAAACCGAATTCGCGTGAAGCTTCTGCGCATGCGCAGTGCCGTCAACTGCGCCACCGCAGTTACGTCGCCGACGCAACATGCATGGCACCTTTCTCTTTAAGTTTGTAGGTACAAGTTCGGCTCATTAAACGTTTATCTTGCCTTCTAAATTCATCTGCTCTTTTAACGTGAAGCGTTCTTTGGCTAGTTGTTCCGGATTTCGTGAAGCCAGATTAACAGAAGCCGGATTAAGCCTCCCCGCTAGATTTAGCGGGAAGATTGTCGTCGCGTGACCTCAACACCAATTCAGTTTCCCGCTAAATTTAGCGGGAAAAATAACGCCACGCGACTTCATGTCAACTGACCTCGACACAAGGTCAGTTTTCCCGCTAAACTTAGCGGGAAAATTGACTTCACGCGACCTCAACTTCAATTCAATTTCCCTGTCAGATTTAGAGAGGAAATTGACGTCACGGGACCTTAACACCAATTTGGTTTTCCCGCTAAATTTAGCGGGAAATTTACATTACGTGAAACGGATTGCATATCGGTGCGGCCACCAGGTAGAGCCATCGCTAAACGTTTCTGATGCTAGAATGTTTCACGTAGCCAACGGCAGTGCCGAGGAATTTGCCATACACTTTTAGAGTGCAGCTCTTAAGCGCCCGTTTCTGGGTTCAGCGGCGTCGGCGTCGGCGTAACCGCGCTAGATTTAGCGGGAAAATTGACGTCACGTGATTTCAACACCAATTCAATTCCCCGCTAAATTTAGCGGGGAATTGAATTCTAGTTGAGGTCACGTGATGTCAGTTTGACGCAAATGTGACGTTAATGTGGAAAGCCGAGCCCCCCCCCCCCCCCCCCCCCTCATTCCATAATGACATGCTGTGACCGTTTCGACCCCCTTCCCACAAACCGTGCATGTAATATCCGCCTCTTGAAATTTGACCCTGCACGTCATGATTCCCATAACCCCCCGTTCTAGCCTCAAACAATAACGCACTGCCTCTGGAATTACAGAATATTCCTCCTCCTCTAATATCAGCTTTCATTGCCCTGTACATTTCCAAAGCTGGCTTCCTCTGCATTCTTGTCCCCCCCCCCCCCCCCCCCCCCCCCATGTCTCCCTCCCTCTCCCTTACAATATTCTTCACTGTTCCTGTCCGCCGATCTTCCTTGGTGTTACACTAACACCAGTACCTTGACGCGAGTCGTCGGGTTCGGTTGTTTTCTTTCCATGTTGTGTCTATACGCTGCTCATATATATAGGTACCTTAATATTCTGCCTGCCCGTCTCTCATCTATTTCCCGTAGCTGTTTCTCAAATTCCAGTTTGCTATTTGCCTCCCCTGCCTCGAACAACGACCAACCCAAAGTTCCCTGTGCACCTCCATTTGGGGTTTTCTGGTGGACACCCAGCGCCAACCTGCCTACGCCATGCTGCTCGACCTCCAGCCTTGACTGCACCTCAGGCGTCATGCACAAGACAGCATTTCCAAATGTAAAAACCAAGCACCATAACCCCCTTCCAAAAACCTCTCACTAAATCTTATCTGTTGAAATTCCACAATGCTCGTTTCTTTATTACTGATGCATACCTAGCTGTAGCCTTTAGGTGTCAAACATATTTCGTGTTCTTGGAGGTACTGAGTGCCCTCGTTTAACCACACTCCCAAATACTTGTATTGCTCTACTCTCGGAACTTTATATCCTTGTATACACAATAAGTTGTCCTGCGTGTCGTTGAGAACCATAATTCCCGACTCCTCTGCACTAAATTCCAGACCCAGCTCGTGACTTTCCTGTCCAGATATTGTCATCAGTTCCCGCGTATCTCTACTGTTGTCTGCCATCAAAACGATATCATCGGCATACATTAATTCCGGAATCATAACTATATCTCCTTGTCTGAAGTAGGAAAGATCAAACCCAATACCACTCTTCTTTAGCCTGCGTTCTAATTTACGCAAATATGGCACAAACAGTAGTGGTGACAACGGGCATCCTTGTCCAAGACCCCTGTCAACGGCTATACGTGGTATCTGTACACCTTCCCATGTTATTGTCACCCGATTATCCCTGTAGACGTCTCTTACCAAATTGATCACATCCATTTCCAGCCCTGCTTTTCCTAAAATATTCCACAACTTATTCCGGTCTACGCTGTCATAAGCTCCCTTGATATCTAGGAACGTTAGCCAGATTAAAAGTTAAAGGTGAATACGCCACGTGGAGAGATAAGTGAACTTGAAACGCTTCCCTAAAACAAACACAACCCTGATGAGTTAAAAAAAAAAAAAAAAAAACTAATAAAACGTTTCAGCGGGATAGATATAATAATGTCGGTTACATGACGTCGAACACACAATGATCCAACCTAACATTTTGTGTTATGATTTTGTTTTCTTTGACGTTCTACGCGAGCCTTAAAGGCCCTAACTGGGCCTTTAAAGGGATACTGAACCAAAATTTGGATTTCGCAAAGTAAGGCTGCAGAAGTGTTGAACGGGACGCTATGAACTCCAAAACATCACTCGTACATCGATATCTCAAACGATGGCCGTACTTTTGGAAAAGAAGGGCGCGATCAAGCGAGTTCTTTGACGTAACTGTCCTCCGGGAGAATGTGAGAATGAGGAGAAGCGGCCTCGTATCTCTCCTCCTCGCTTCGGTTCACCAGCTTGACGGGACGTAGCGAGGAGGAGAGAGAACGGGAATCGTGACGTGCCTTGTCGCGTCGGCCTCGTCGGCCGGATTCAATCGCGCACTTCTTTTCCAAAAAATACGGCGATCCGTTAGATATATCGCCGTATGAATGATATTTCTTGGTTTTGCAGCTTCCCGCCTATCCGCCAGGCCTTGTTTTGTGAACTCGAATTTTCGGTTCAGTATCCCTTTAAGGCTCGCGGTGAAATGAATGAAATGAAATGTAGAAATAATTATTTTCTACGTTTAAAACCAGCAGGAATGTATCTCTTTATTTAATGTGGCAGCTTCAAAGATGACAAACAAAAATGTCGCTTCCGCACGCGAGCGTACAATGGTCGGTATACCAATAAGTGTTAGAACGTTCTTCCGCAGTAAAACAAAAAGCATCATCGAAGTGACTATTTTTACAGCTTATCATATAAGCAGCGCATAAATTCCGTGATAAAGTTCATCTGTCACCTGCACGTCAATTCATATTTTTTTAGGAGTGGTTTGCACACTGACACGATTATTGCGCTGTCAAAAGGCACCGTCATTCTGTCCCGATCGTTCGGCCGCGCGCGAACTTGATAAAGACTTGTGCCATCGCCGCCGGGCACGATAGCGCGCGGGAGCCATAGCCAATGCGGGCCGCACACTAGATCGACGTTCAGAGCCTACATAAACGGCTAGCCGATACCGGGCAGCCTCAGACGATTCCCGGAACGCAGCCGCGCTTGCCACACGGACGGTCTCTATTGCGACGCAGCCCTGCCCCGCCACTAACAAGGTAGGTATCGTTTTCTGAACTCGCGTAGGCGGGTCTGTTCAGAGTTTGGGCATCGCTATGTTATATATTCTCCCAAACTGGTGTTAACGCTTCTTGCCTCTGTCTCGAGTAAACACGGACGCGCTTATTTGCCCGTTCCTCGTCCGCTTAACGCCGAAGTCATGTACTGCTAATGCATCGCGCTGACAGTCTGCAGACGTTGGGACAGCGGCGTAACGTGACCACGTCTCCATGTCTTCTGCAGAAAGCGATGGAGACCCCCGCTGTAGCAGGTGCCGAAGAAGTCGTCAAGGCGCTGCCAGTTCCAGAAGAAGTCCTGGAGGTCCCGCGTCCCGCAGAGCCGGCGGTCGAGCCCGAACCTTCCGATGCCGCCGCTGTCGTCGAAGCGGAGTCCTCGGCACCTGCTCCCGCGCAGCCCGTAGTACCTTCGGAACCAGCCGTTGCCGATGCTAAGTCGTCGGAACCTGCTCCCGTGGACCCCAAGCCTTCCGAGCCCGCCGTCGCGGATGCCGCCGTGGCTGCTCCGGCAGAGAAATCCGAATCGACCGTTCCGGCGGAGGAACTCTCTTCCGAGCCCACGCCGTCACAGCAGGTTTGTTTCTTCGCTGCTTCCGCAGTGTGCTGAGGTTCTCTGCTGAGGCTGCTGTGCAGATGTGTGTGCGTTTTAGGCAGCGGGTGGTTTATCAACCCCAATGGGCTTCTGGTGTCTCGGCTGTACCACTGCTCGCCTGGGGTCTTATTGTCGCGCATTGCGGTACAATACTCCTTGATGGTCAAACAGCCGAGGTTTGGGGGTACCACCCAGCATCTCTCGGTTACGCAGCGCGCGGTTTCTTTACGTGCTGCGTTGCGGGAGCCCACAGGCCCTTGGTCGTGTTTAGTGTTGTCTGGTTCTTTCCAGTTTGGCTCGTTACACCTGACTAGCCCCTAACCTCTGCGATCTTGTTATCTGTTCCTTTTGTAGGACGACAAGACAGAGTCCCAGCAAGACCTCCCAGGAGCTTCCCAGCCTTCGGCCGAGGCACCCCTTTCTACTCCTGCCACTGCAGAGGCTGTTTCCTCCGCCGCTGAATCTCCGAACGTCCCGTCCGACGCTGTGAAGGTCGTCGCTCAGCAGCTCAAGGATATGGCCATCAAAGAGGACCCTCAGCAGAGTGCCTCGGAGGAGGCCTCCGCCGGTCACGACGAGACTGGCACCTCTGCTCCTCCCGGCACTGCGCCCGAACCTGCAGAACCCTCCGAGAAGTCTGCCAAGAAACGTCGTTGCGTGATCAACTAGCCCACGTTGTAATTCGACCACAGTATTTATACTTTTATAGTTCGCCAGAATAAACCGTTTACACTGTGTAGTTCTCGTGTTGCTTTTCGTGTCTTAATTTTCAGAGGATCGTCGGATGACGTGGGATACCGGATCAAATAAGACTACAACGCCGGTAGCGCAGCAAATGCAGTGCGAGGCACGCGCTACTACAGCCCACGCTTTGGTGGCGCCCCCTCTTGCGTAAGGCGGCAGCTGTGGGCTCTCGCTGAGCTCACCACCCCTCCTCTGGTTCACTGTAACCCTGCTTGCAATTGTGTTTGAAAAAAATAATAATGAAAGTGCCAGGTTTGTGGTGAGCACGCGCGTCCTCTGCCCAAACACCTCGAACCGGCGATTTCCTCAAAAAAAAGTAGGTACTGGGCGTAGCTTTCTTTATCGTTCGTAGTCTCCTGTGCCGATAAGCTGCATTGTGTCGAGAATCCGAGCGTCAGCAATCTTGGGGTTCGATGAACACGAAGGGGCCTCAACACGACGCCCGACGCAAAGATAAGTGACTCCTTCCTGCAGACAAAAACAATCCGTTCACGCATAGGACTTCGGAAGCTCGTTCACGCGATTTGCGATTCGGTGCATCGCTTTTTCGATCGAAGAATTTCGCGGGGAATATCTTCATTTCCACGGAGGTCGCTTTAATTTATAACGAGCGGGGCCGACGCTATAGATACGCACTTTCGCTGTTGAGATATGGGAGGATACGGGAACACGTACCCTCGCCCACCTTAAGGGCTAGCTCTCCTCCGCCTTGGAGACGCTACAGAAAGGTGTCCGAGAGTATCCACAGCCAGTTAAATACTCGTCTCTAAAAAAAGAAAAAAAAAAGTGCTTCTTAATTGAATTTTTATTTACCTCAGAACCGAGGTTATAAAAGTTGCTTCCTATGGGTGTATTTGGCAAGAATCCAGGTGCTTATGAGATTATATCTCTAAGTTACGTATTAAATGGTTGTTGCGACTAAAGCTGATTATAAAGGTAGTTGTTAGTCTAGTTGGTTATGACTGTTTTGAACCATGGTTAAACGCGCTTTTAAACATGGCCCATAAAGCTGATTACAGTGCTCTACGTTTTCCGCGCAGAAAGGAGCGCCACCCCCCCGTCCTCATTCTGTAAAACCAAATTCATTATCAAGATAGCCAAACGGATGGCCCGCTCGTCATCTCCCAAAAACCACAGGATTGCATATTCGGCTCCCCTGTTTGTGTTTGTCCTTCGTCACCCTTCTCCAGAGATTATTAATGCGAAAGCATTAACTGGTCTCATGGAGCGAGCTGACGTCATCAGTCCGAAGCGCGAAAACGGCAGATAGTTTCCTTCGGTTCCATTGGCTGGCACGCGTCGACGGGGCTCCCAATGGCCGCTGCGCTCGTCAGTTTCCACGACCGCTCACCCCATGGCGCTGCGTGTCCATCAGCGCGGACACGCAGCGCCAGTGACAGTGAAGGGAGAGTGGATTTCAAGACTAGAGATTACCAACCAAAGATTAAGTGAATGGTGGCAGAAATCGAGAGAAAACTAGGCATTTTCTTATTCACTAATGGCAAGGGGGTTTCATAGCCTCACTTTCTTTGCACTGCGGAGTGAATATAGATTTCACATTTAAATATTCTAAGCTTAAATGGTAAAACAAAATGGCTAGGTGGCGTAAGCTACCGCCCTATTCAAAGTGCTCAGCCGTATTCATCCATCCATCCATCCATCCATCCAGCGGAACGTCCAAGGTCACCAGGGGAGCACACGCGCCGACCAGCGGCGAAAAATACCCAGCAGACGAAAAAAGAAGCGAACGAGCGGCTTGCATGCTTTCGCATTCACAAGGAATGCTTAGGTGTACCTCGATCTTTTTTCGTCATCCTTGTCCAGCTCGCTTACATATTTGCATTTAAGTGCGTTATCATCAGATTCTTTCTGTTTTCTTTTGTTTTTTTTAGCGGTTTTGGTAGATGTTTATTTCAGTAAACTTTGGGGGTACCGTTCTTCTGTTGTAATGCGTTAACTGGCATTTTTCTCGTATCAGCCGATTAGTGATATCTGGTCCAGGCAAGAACAGTCGGCGTGAAGTCTAGAAAACCTCAGCACTTCTAATTTGTTAGTGTTAAACTTAATATATATCGTATCACGCCCCTCACACAGGGTAAGACTAAAGCCAAGGGACAGCGAAAAAGATCGATAGTCAATCATCGGCGAATAAGCTAAGGAAAAATGTAACAGACCTAGCAGACTAGTTTTGTGTTAAATGGCGGCTGACGGTGTTTGCAGACATTGTCACTTCATCCGGCAGATTAAGGAATAGCAAAACAAAACAAAGTGAAGGTGAAGCAGTCTCGTGTCTTTTGCCCTTTTTAATCTTTTACGAGCTGGATAATTTTCCAGGTACAAAGCGTCCGCTAAAATAACGTGTGCTTAGCACTGACTCTTTTTTTTTTTTCTTTTGTCCACGTGCCATCGCTCTTCCAGCAATGAAAAGTAGCTTTTCACAAATCACAAAAATTCACTCAATTGCGCTTTTATTTTGTGTAATGAATACAGGCTATTTACAGGCATGATACCAATACAACGGCATTTTGAACTGGAACAATGCGATCATTATACTTCCAGGAGTTGAAACCTTTCCAACAGCTCCTTTGTTTCTCGGAAGGCGCTGCAAATAAGATAAATACTGCCATGTAATAACCGCGAGAAGGTGAGAGTATTCGTAAATAAATAAATTACCAGGTAAACAAAAGTGCAACACCCGGGCAGCTCGTTTTCACGTAACATGAAAACTAGTCGAAAACCTCCAGCCATAGGACCGGCAACGTCTAATGTGAATAGCCGCCGTGGAAAAAATAAGTGCCTGAACGGCACCGCCTCGCCATGGAACAAGTGTGTCGAAGTCCGCTCGCATTTCTGGCAAACGAAGTCAGATGCGCACAGTGTTGGCGGTAACGCGCCTTACAAGTAACGGCGTTACCGCTAACGCGTTACTTTTTTCCGGTAACGTTGTAACGTATTCCTTACATATTCAAAACTGTAACGGGTCAACGTATTTACGTTACTTCGAGTAACGTACTTTTTTTTCGCACGTCACACATTCTTCCCAAGACGTTTTTTTTTTTTTTTTTTTTCTTTCGTTTCTCTAGGCGCCAAGTTATACACATTTTTTGCGTTTTCTTTACCATTCTTTTTTTTTTTTTCTTTTTAGTATATAGGTGGAACCGTAAAAAAGATAAGGTAATATGTCCAGTTTCTAAACATTGTGTTCCTTGAAATATGTCGCTTGTACATACCTGTAACATCAAAAAGTAAACCGTGTTAATTAAAAATTTAAAAAAAAGTAACGCAAAAGTAACGTGGGTCGATTTTTAACGGTAAAGGGTTCCTTTTATTTTGAGGTTACGTAGGTCGGTAACGCGTTCCTCTTGTTTGCAAGTAACGAGTAACGTATTTCGTTACTTTTTTTTCCGGTAACGCCTTTACACTGGATGTGCATCATGACTGGGGCTCAAGGAACCGTCCTTATTGGCGCACACATTTTCAAGGCCGCGCGACGCGAGACCGTGCCTGCACGGCAGCCATAAACCGATAGTGCCCCTGCCGGGAGATGCGCAAAGCTTGAGTGCAATTTCGCTTCCCTTTATGGCCTTGTCTTCCACCGTGACTGTAGCTAACTTCGTTCAAACACGGTGCAGGCACACTGGGCTTTGAGCAGACACAAGAGCCTGTTTCGGGAGCTGCTATGAGGTTGAAGTAGGGTGCCTACATGTTTCCGCCGCTCCGCGGAAACATGTGGGCACCCTAGGTTGAAGCATTGTCATAATAGAAGCACAGTTACGATGTGGATTATTCTTGTTTGTAATGTCGATTACTAACAATTCTACGGTTACAAAAAGGGTAGTGGAGCAATCTAAAACAATAGCTGATCATTGACTTTTGGCCCCATAAATTAACTAAAAGAAGAATTCGGGCAGAACCAACTATGTTGCTGTCTAATTAAGCGATTAGCTGCATACATACACGAAAGAGCCACGGCAGGTCGCATGTTAATTTTCTCGCTAAATTTAGCGGGTACGTAGGTCACGTGAAATTAAAACAGGTGACGTTATGTTCTTTTAAACTGAATTGGTGTTGAAATTATGGGACGCCAATTTTCCCGCTAAATCGATCGGATAAATTAATTGTGTATAAGTCCCGTGACATCATGTGACGTCATTTGCCCCGCTAAATTTAGCGGAGAAACCGAATCGGTGTGGAGGTGACGTGCCATCAAGTCATGTGACGTCAAACTGAATTGGTGTTGAAACCATGTGCTGCCAGTTTCTTGCTAAATTTAGCCGGGAAACTGAATTAGTGTATAAATCACGTGACGTCAAGTCATGTGACGTCATTTTCCCAGCTAAATTTAGCGGAGAAAATAAACGACCAGAAATAAAAGCGACCGCATAGCTGGTGCCGAAACGTGCGCCTCCACGTCACGTGCACGTCTTTTTTTTTTTTTGCCATAAAGATACGTTTTTCAGCAGCACCCGGTAGCTTTCACTGACACGAATCAAATGAGCCATTGTGCCCCAAAAAAAAAAAAATATACATTGGGTTCTAAGACGCGTTTGCAAACGATTGGCAGTGGTCAAAAAAAAAAAATATCTTTCCAAAAAAAAAAAAAAAAAGCAGCATGCATACAACGGGTCACGGGTGTCTACAGATGTGAAGCGCTGTCCACACAAACACACGCGACGCATCTGGTTGGCGTGCACGCCGAAGGATATGACATTTTTTAGCAGCACCTGGCTGTTTCAAAAAACATTTTCAGGAAAAAGCGCAAATTTTACCTTAAAATCTAGGACGCTGAACAACGTCTGGAAACATCGAGATGCGGCTGAAAAACGTCACACCTAGCCATCAGATTTGCCGGATCCGCGAACTGTGCGCGTTTGCCCGAGACAAAGTGAAGTTTCACTGTAGAAGAGCTTGTAGTTGGGCTAGTTGGTGAACGTTGGAAATCATGGTGTAAGGGATAAGGCGCAAAAAACAACGGACACATGAGAGAAATCAGACATACAGGCGCCACTCACAACTATATTTGAAAAGTGCAGAAAGAAAGGAATATATATGTCGTCATCTTCATCACGTTCACGCACGCGCTTGGCCACGTGATCTTCGCTTCATCTCCCATCAAATAATCTAATCTCGGCATTATAGAGTGCAATAGATGTGTCACTTACGCATTGTGTACCCTTTTTCTGATAAAATACGCTTCCAATAACTCGCGCACTATTTTCGTCCACGCGTCCATCACGTCCACAGACGCAACTCCCGCGCGTGGACGTGATGAGGACGACGACTTATGCATTCCTTCCTTTTTGCACTTCTGAAATATAGTTGTCAGTGGCGCCTGTATGTCTGATTTCTCTCTTGTGTCCCTTGTATTTTGCGCCTTACGCCATGATTTCCAGTGAAGCTTCAATTGACGAGTTTGATTAGATGGCCATGTCCGGTTCTGCTGGTACACGTTTCAGTTTTGGAGATTCCCATTCGTCTTCGCGTGGTCTAGTTGGTCAAAAAGTGTTCTTTTCAAAACTCCGTAAAATATTGGCCATTATTATTGACACTCCTAGGAAGCCACAAATAGGGCTCTTACCCAGGCTAATACATTTTACAACAATGGTATTTTTAAAGGCAGGCTTTAGGTTCTCGGAGGTGGGAAGGATTACATGCTTGTGCACCCTGAACTCTGCCCAACAATGAAGGTCTGTAAAAGTATAGCGCCAAACTTTGACACCCACCAGCCTCTCCTAATGATCTCGAAGTGCCCTGGAATGGAAAAGTTGATGACGGTAGACCCTTCACGATTAAGACCATTGTAGCCGAGATTTCCACCATCAAACACTGCATCCAGGTGAGGCCACAAGGCTTGGAACTCCTGAAAAAAGAAATTCAGAAAGCTTGTTTCTTTTTTGGGGTAGGTTTATGACCACACCTAACAGTCTCTGTTGTTCAGAAAAAACTGCTACATGAAAGTACCTCAATATAACTTGCCAAGGGCAAAGCTGTGATATGAAAGTAATAAAAGAACACGGGCAAGAAGGCTTAATGACCACATGGTTTAAAACTGAGACATTTTTCTCTTCCTTCAGTTACAGGATTTCGAGCTAATGATATACTCTCACTGCGCACTTTAAACAATAAATGTGATGTCGAATTATGGCAAAACATTTTTTATGGTAGTATTGGACTAAGGCAATTGAAAATAGAAACGAATGTAACATGACAGCGTTCTGACTCATACAGAATGGTTCAAAGTTGTTTCAACCACTGGAATAATTGAATGCTATACTCCGCGACAACTTTTCTTGGCAATGCAGTGGAAGGTACAGGCCCGCGTCCCCTCTCCCATTTTGAGTGTACACAGGTTTTCCCTATCGGGGAGGAGGAGAGCCTGCGTACACTCAAAATGGGAGAGGGGACGCGGGCCTGTACCTTCCACTGCATTGCCAAGAAAAGTTGTCGCGGAGTATAGATGAAGCACCAAACTAAAGGAGAAAGAGATTGTCTTAATATAAAAAAACTATGACACCTATTCAATATCATACTTTACTGATTTGCTGTTCGCAATTATGCATCCTAGATAGATCAAATTCAACAGAGGAGCAATTCTGTTAGACCTGTTAGACATATGCACAGTGATATCCCAGAGTAGACGCACCTGTATAGAGAGCGTGCTCATCTCTGAGCTGACATTGGCACTCGTGAGGGCCAGAGGCTCCCCGCAACACCTCGTAACCTGTCGGATGAAGTCGCTGTTTGGAACTCTGACCCCGACAAGGGGAGTCAGAGGATTTAGCTTGGGGTTGAGTTCCCGTGTTCTTTGAAAAACAGCCGTAACCGCCCCAGGGAAGAGGTGACGCAGCAGCTTCTCTGGGATGGAAACTTGGGCCCATCTGAAATTTGTTTCCAAGTGAAGTGTTTTTTAAACATATTAATAAAAGAGCTTCTGAACCTGCACGTTTCATCCGAGACGTGGCAAAACGAAACCAACGTGCTATGAAACCTTTGTCAATGCATTCTCCCAATACAAAAACATTGCTTACATGTGCCCAGACCGTCGAACTAGGCAGCACCTTGATTATTCTACCAAATCATAATCAGTGTTGACATTTTCTGCTTCCCTTTCATCAATGATATTTAGGGGTATTAGTGAGAAAATTGGGCCGGAAACTACGTTCACGACGATATTAACACGCCTTCTAAAATCCAAAGCTGCTGTGGAAACCTCACTACAAAACGTTGCTTCAAGATGATATCATGTATACTTGTACAGTGATGAGTAACGCACCCAAGTTTTGTTTGCATAAGGCGTAACTTTCTATGGACAATTTCGTGCTTGCGGGTTCTAATGACATCGGAAACCTCTAAATACTATTTGCAACATGCGGTCACCGTGATATCTCATCGGCGTTGTGAACGCAGATGGCGATTGGCTTTCCGGCATCCCGTCTCTTGAGCCTGTACAGTTTTTCCACGGATTCGGAATTCTGCGCCAGAGCAGCTACTCCGTATATTGTGTCGGTAGGAAGAGCGACAATCCCTCCATTTCTCAGGATGTCAGCCGCAGCCTGAGCTTCCGATGATTCTAGAATATAGAAAAGCCAGCGGTCAGTAACTTGTCATCTTGCTTTAAATCAAGATTCCGTCCCTCCATTCATTGGCGCGAACACTACGACCGATGAACACATACCGGTTCGGTAAACGGCCGAATCCACCGGAATTATCCTTGTCATGCTACGGGGTGCTTTGTGAACTCGACTTTCCGGAATGTGTGAGTAGAGCCGCCGAAGACACGTTTTCAGAGTGCGCATAGTTTCAAACGTTCCTCGGAACTCTTGTTGGTGGTTGCAGACACATGCGAAACATTCGTCTCATGGGCGCTGCCATTTTTAAATCTGAGTTGCGTGCAAAGGGAGATACATAACGTGCAAAATGAAGTAAAAGTGGTAATATATTATTAAAAATTAATTCATATATTATTTAATTAAATTTTATTTTATATACAATTAATTGTTTATAAAATAAATTTGTTTTGTAGTTTTTTTTTATAAAAAAGGGGAAACGAAACCTTTATTTGATCTTTATTTTGTTTTCTTCGTACCTTGAAGATGGCGGCTTCCACGAGCAACATGGATCGACGCGCTGACGAACGTGGTGGTGGAAAACGAGCAGGTTTTAGGAAAAAATGGAACAAGGACATGCCGAGGAAGTTCGACAACCGAGGATCCAAGGAATCCATGAAGCTGTACAGAAAGAGGCAAACGCAGGGTCTCACGGAAAAGGAAGAAATTGAGAGGTTGAAAGAAGCGTATGATACGGTGAGCCACGCGCTAGGAAGGTTGTCAAACTTTGTCGGTCGATTTGAATTCCAAAATATTTGTACAGTACATACAAGTTGCCTTGCCACATTTTCAGAGCACCGGGACTTGTCGGACTCTTTTGTCTTAAAATATGCGGAAAGGTTCTCTTGCAGAGCATAGTCTGGCCCTGATCTGGATACGTAGCATCCGTCTCGAAATAAAATGCCTTAAAACAATATTTATTTGCACAAAAAGAGTATTACCCTGGATGGTGTGCCTGGCTGGGCAGTAAGGTTAAAACCAGAACGCAACTGCGCCTGCCAGCCCGCCTTGTTTTTAATCACCTTGTATTTGTTTTTTTTATTCCAGTTTGACGTTAACACGGCAAACACATTCAAAGATTTCCCGCTCTCTACCAAGACACAACTGGGTAGGTAGCCTCAATCGCATTGTCATTTTCATAGAATTCTAATGGCGTTGACTGTGCTCACTTATCTTCGCTGCCGTTGACACTGGTGCATGGTGATGGCTTTCTTCAAGCTGACTTAGAACATGTTTCTGAATGGTGTTCCAATAACTGTCAATCATTTAATCCACAAAACTAAATCTCAGTCTCGTGTTATCTAGGAAGCGCGGTGTCATTGGTTTACATCTTAAAATCAAAAAGGCAACTCAATTCACTGGGTGTCCTTATAGATGATCTTGTTGTCTGTATTGTCTGTTCCTTTATTTCTGTAACCACGTTTTTATAATAGTAAATGTTGAATACTGGCCATAATTTCACAAATATGTTGCAAATTTTTGCACCCTTTTGTTTACTGGGCTTGTTCAGGTCTTTAGTTAGATTGCAGCTAGAATTTGGCTTTGTCATCTGTAACTCTTCGACTCTACCACGGGTTTTTGCAACTTCAAATCTACAGAAACGAATTATAAGAATGGCATCTGATCGTCGTGTGAGGTTTCGCAGTATAATGATCAGCTATTGTACACTTCGAAACATTAAAACTAAAATAGGTACGACCAGTCTAAGGACTTCTTAATTTTGTTTTGCTTCTTTCATCCCTAGGTTTGAAGAATGCTGGCTTTGTCACTCCTACGGAAATACAAAAGGAATCCATCGGGCTTGCCCTCAAGGGCTTGGATATTCTCGGAGCTGCAAAGACTGGCTCTGGAAAGACACTGGCATTCGTCATTCCAGTGAGTGAGAAATGACTATTTGCCTAGGAACACTGGCAGCATAACTACCCTGCCAGTGTTCCTTTGAACACAGTCAGAAGTGTTTTGGTTTGAATTATTTCCCCTTTGTTTTTGTAGGTCTTGGAGAAGCTTTACCGTGAAATGTGGTCTCGCTACTACGGTCTCGGCGCCCTGATCATTACTCCGGTGCGGGAGTTGGCGTACCAAATCTTTGAGGTCCTCAAGAAGGTTGGCGTTCATCACGACTTCTCGGCGGGCCTCGTCATAGGCGGCAAGGTGGGTTGTTTTGGTCTGTTTCTGCTACTTTTCTCAACATCGAGGAGCAGTGAAGGTTGCCCCCGCCACCAGACAAAGAGACGTCAGCTTAGCCTTGTTTGTTACGCCTTGTAGCCTGTCAAAGACTAGAGGTAGGCAGACGCAGAAGTGAAGCAAAAGACGCTAAAACACAGCGGCTAGGACATCAGGGAAACACGAGCTGCTCTTCACCAGTTCCACACTTCGAGTTCTGTAGAATGCTTGGAAAGACAGTGGTGTACGCGTGTAGTCCGGAGAGCTGTGTATTGTAAAGTTGAATAAGTTTTGAAGTTTAGTATATGTGTTTGCATGTGTGACCTTTGCGGTGCTGTGCTCAGCTTAGCCCTCCCTGGCAGTGTGCCGCTAACCCTCAAAGTCAAGGACTGATTTATCCAAGGTGATGATAATAACAAAAATAAAATCAGTCGCTTAACTTGTTATGTTCACCTTTGAATGAGACTAGCTTTACTCTAAGGTCACATTTTTTTATTGCACGTGCTTGTCCAAACAAATGAAAATAAAACAGGTGTCCTTCTGACTAAGTTGCCTGCCAAGAGATAATGTGTAAGCTGAGTGAAATGTGCCTTCCCCCCCATCCCACCCCTTGAAGGACTTGAAGTTCGAGCGGAAGAGGATGGACTCCTGCAACATTGTGATCTGCACTCCAGGTCGTCTGCTCCAACATATGGACGAGAATCCTCTTTTCGACGCCACGCAGCTACAGATTCTTGGTGAGAAAACTTGTACCGATCCAGTACAGCTTTTCTGATTCACTGTGCAATGTTGTACAGGTGTTTTTCCCGCCATTATGGTATACTTTATCCAATCCAGCAATCCTGCAGCATTATTGGGTGCCATCCTTTTCTTACGGTTTTTCACGTCTCTTGCAGTGTTGGATGAGGCTGACCGCATTTTGGATATGGGCTTCCAGCAGAGCGTCAACGCCATTCTGGAAAACCTTCCGGTCGAGAGACAGACTTTGCTTTTCTCCGCAACGCAGACCAAGTGAGCTGCCAATCTTATGGGCTACTTCTAGTAGCTTGTAAACTGCTAGTTCTTTACAAGCTACTGGTGATTGGGTCACAAATGTTTAGTGTTTGTGAGAGAACACATGGTAGTATTTACTATGGTGGCCTTCCATGCTGCTGTAAGAAATGCATTTGACTTCTTTTCATACTACTACAGTGACCTTTTTCCTGGTCACATAATTATTACTTGCAACCTGTAGAAAGAAATGTCATATTTTTGGTGTTTGGTTTCAAAGCCGGACCCTATAAAAGTTTCTCGATTAGCAGAACTTCCTTAAGCTTCTCTTAAAGGGCTACTCCACCGATTTTTTTATTGCCTCCGATTTGCTTGAAATTTTGCTTAACTAACCAACAAACATCACGAAAATAGTATCCCAAATATTAGGTCAAAATATTGTTTTTTCGCGAAGTTATTAAATTTACAGTTTTGGTCCTCACCGTGTTTTTCAAGCTCGAAGTCTCTACTGGCAACAATGAAAAAGTGACGTCAGTGGAAGGCAGGGGTTCACTCTTTGGGCTGTAGATTTTGTTTTAAACTGATTCGAAGCAGTTTCATGGTGTCAAATGAATGCTTGGGAAGCTCGCTGCAGCACCCGCGCTCCAGCACGGAACAAATGATTGGCATATTCTATTTTTTGGCTGCTTGCTCGACTGGCAAGCCTGCCTGCCCCTGACGTCACGGGCCTGAAAAGCGCGCGTATATTTGAATGTTGGTTTTTGCATCATTTTCATTCGCCGATTTCGCAATAACTATTATGAATTTCGCGATTCTAAATAGCATACCGGAGAGAGTAAAGGCCGGGGAGTCAGAAAATATAGTTAGTTGAGGTAGCTCAAAAAATCGGTGGAGTACCCCTTTAAACCCATACTGAATTAGAGATGTACAAAGGGCTTACACATAAAGATGATAAAGGTAAGGTGACTTCTAATTTACATACCAGGACCTGTTCTCATCTGTATCATTTGTATTCATGATTTAAGATGTAATTGCACCTAATCCTGTAGTACTTGTAGTATATGGTGGAACATTGAGGCAACATGAAATGAACCAGAGTTAGATAACCTGTTACTTTTGCATTTGGATAATGACAGGCAACAGGTATTGTTTTGAAGCAACCCTGGTACAACAAAGAAAAGCATGGAAGATGTGTGAAAATGAACTTCTACTTTTGTGTTAAAATACTCGAAGAGCTGAAAAACAACATGATGTCTTGTTCTAATGCTAATTTCCAGTAATACCGTAAGTTAGCATTTCTAGATATAGGGGTTGAACCAGCTATGTCTTGTCGAGTAGAACAACCATTCATCTCTCGTTATGTTCCCATTTTGTAGGTCTGTGAAGGACTTGGCGAGGTTGAGTCTCAAGAGCCCAGTTTACGTGTCTGTGCACGAGAATGCAAAGTTCACTACTCCCGAAGCTTTGGTCCAGGTAAGACTAGTGGGCCCCTTACGCCTAATTTTGTTGCCACGGCCTGTGTTGTCATCTAAGAGACGAGAAAGCAAGAGTTGCAGAACAGACAGGCTCAACCTCAGGCACTGAAAACAAAACGCTCATGGGAAACACTTCCAATGTTTTATTTTCAAATAAGACACACTTTCTTATAACCTTCTTTTCCATAACAGTCGATTTAGTACCACGCTATTAAAGATAAGTGAATGTTTCATCTTGAGGTATCATTCGACGTGTCACTAAGCAAAACTAGACTAAATAATAGACACTCATGAACTGGATGGACATAACTGTGGAAATATGTGTGCTATTAATCCTCATGCGTCCTTGCTCCCCTTGGTTTAAGAAACAGCTTGGAAACATGCTGCGAACGTTATCAAAGGAGTGCAACTTGCGGATGCATTCAAGAACAATTAGAGTGTGAGAGTTTGGGAGACTTTCTAGGAATCCAAGAGCTTATTTGGAATGACAACTGTCGTAATAAATTGCTCGCAACTTAATATTCTATTTATTTGTGAGTAGTTTAGGAGTTCCTGAACCCAGAATAGTTATAATTGTCACTAGTAATTGCAGTGGGTATCAATTTAGTAGAATATATTTTATGAGTTTTCACCAGGGAATAATCTGGGCTTGCTAAAATGCTTTTTGTGACTTGCTGCTCCAGAGCTACACCGTGTGTGATCTCCACAACAAGCTCAACCTCCTGTGGTCGTTCATTCGGAGTCACCTAAAACAGAAGATCCTGGTCTTCCTTTCTAGCTGCAAGCAGGTGAGGCGCTTTGGCATCCATTCACATCCCCAATGTCGCTTAACTGCATGTCTTCTTCTGCCGTGGAAGGGTGAGAGATTGGGTAGTATACCGAGTTTTAGTTAAACATAACTACACCGATGGCCACAAGGGCCCTCCAAGTGACTTCTGGGTAGAGGTCGTCACAGCTACGGGCCAGCCCGTGGGCCAAACTTGGGCTTCACGGCTTCATTCGTGAAGGGCCGGGGCCGGGCACAAGCCTTGCAGTCGAGTCTACAAGGCGGGCCAAAGCAGGCCACGATCCGCGCCAGTGCAGTGACGTCAAAGATTGAGTCGTCCTGCAACTCGAATTTTTCTCACGCCTCTCAGCCATCCCGACCCGAGGTGTCGTGTTCGCCCACGTCCCACGATCAACCGCTCTCCTCCGTGCGTGCCGCCTATTGCTGTGAGAAGACGGCGCTTCACTTTCGAGTTCAAAGTTCTTTTAGGACCCTTTCATCGATCTCAAATTCTTTGAAACGGTGTGAGGTTGAAGAGGATGCGTAGTGGACTTTTATGAGTGATGTGAGGGGCCACGTTGCACCGGTTCTGCGTGAACGGCTGCCCCGGTGGAGTCACAACGGGAACTACGGTACACAGACACCTAACCCAGTCGTTTTGACCGTTTGACGATTTCCTTTTCCAAGTCTGAGAGGTCGTCGCGCACCTAAAAAAGGGAACTTTGTCCGATTCTCTGACTTTCCAATCATCCTCAGTGTATGTGCCGAGTGCCGCCATGTTTTCCGAGGGAGAATAAAAAGCCAGAAGGCGACATCAGTCTGGACTTCGATTTTCGGTATTTCAAAAAGAAGGGCCGTAGTGCGTTGCAATTGCTTTTAAAAGCATGTTTTGCGAATGCCGTCATCAAATATTATAAAAATGTCACTTATAAAGCTTTTAAATTTGATAATAGATTACGTCACAAATAAAATGAAGCGAGGAGGTGAGAAGGAGGAGAGAAAACGTCAAAAATAAAAAGGCGCGCACGCGCATGGGGAAATGTTTTTTACAATTTGGTAGTTTTTGCTTGTTTATGACACAACTGGCATCGTTTTAGGCAACAAACAATAATACAACCTTTGGGGTGTCAGTGCCCCTTTAACCTTCAAACTGTGCTTAAGAATCACGCTGGGACACTCACAATCGCGGTTAAAGCTCCCTTGAATTGAAATGAAATGTGTCCCGCAGGTGAAGTATGTATACAGGGCATTCTGTCGCATGCGGCCCGGCATGACCATCCTGGAACTTCACGGCAACATGTACCAGATGAAGCGGATGGCCGTCTACGACGAGTTCTGCCGCAAGCAAAGTGCCGTCCTGATTGCCACCGACATTGCGGCTCGTGGTCTTGGTGAGTACGCTTGGCACTCCCACCTTGTTTTCTGCTTGTAGATGCTCTTGATTTCCCAATGATAGAGTGCTGAATTGGTACTGCTGGAACGAACTGGCAATGATGGCTTGTGCAGCATTTGTTGTCTGTGGGGAGCCTATATGCTTGCCATGTACACTGCCCCTCAAACCTACCATGGCCCCTCGGTTACCAAATTATTGATCTATTTCTGGCTACTCAAAACTAAATTGGTCACTGCAGCAGTTTGAATGCCTTCCCCGGGTTGAGTTGCGATCAGGGAGTCAGAACTTCACCGCATATTTTGACTGGCAAACCCAGGAATGGCTCACAAAGTGCCAAAAACGGACCATCTCGTGGTGGCGTTACGTTTGGGGAGCACTTTACTTTCCGTCTGGTTATTGCCGCGTTTAATTATTGTGCACTTCTGTTTAGATTTTCCTGCTGTGAACTGGGTGATTCAGCTAGACTGTCCTGAAGATGTCAACACCTACATCCACAGGGCTGGGAGAACTGCAAGGTGACGTTTTCCTCTTTTTCATTTTCACCTTCTGAAGGGCCACTGCCAGTTATTTGTGGTGTACGCTCGCCACTTTTGTTTTGTTTCATTTTATTTCATTTGCTCAGTTTGGAGGAGCTAAGGTGTAGCTCAGTTGTAAAAAAGAGTGAGCAAACATTTTTTTTAGTAGTACTGTCGTGCTCGTTTATAACAAAGTCTGTTATAACGAAATAGCGGCTATAGCGAAGCAATCACGACTTGCCATTCCCGTTTGCACTTTTTAAATGTATTTGTGTCTGTTTTTGACAAAGTAAATGGGTGGCTTCCGCAGTAATAGTGAAGAGAAATTTTGTGACAATTGAAAAAATGATCAAATTTAAAAAGTTTACCAAGTCGCAGACCGCCGCACCTTGCTGCCGCGGCTAAGCAGCCACCCAGAACGATGCTGCAAAGGTCGGCGGCAGCAGCCTCTGCATCGTTGTCTGGGTCCATCCATTCTAAAGAAGACGTAGCAATTTTTTTATGTCTAGGATATATGTGAAAAAATTAATTTGAATAGAGATGCCTCTGAACTAAAAAAAAAACATTTTTTTGTGAAAAAAATTAATTTTATTTTTGCTGACATGCTCTACATTTCTGGAATTTGCTTAAAATTCATGTAGCTAAAAATTGCATTGTCAAAAGAGTTGTATGCCAAACAAATTTAGGTGGTTGCCTAATTACTTAGTAATATTCCCTATCTTACACTATTATACAAACATTGAAAGACGCCATTTTGGGTCCAAATAGGAGCTTCAAGAAAAAGACCATGAATTGTTTTTGTCAACTTTGATTTGGGTGTTAGCTACAATACTTTTCTTGTTTGTTCTCATAAAATTGATAATTCAATTACATCTGTTGCATTTTCAAAGTCTCGTTTGGTTGCATTGTAATTGAATTACAAAATCTTCAGTTTGTGCAGAAACGGCCATATTAAATATATAGTCAGAAAAAGCAATGCGGGCAGCAGTGCCCAGAACTTTCAAAATAGGCGCTTGCGTCGTAGGCGACGCACGCCAGCGTTTACCAGCGAGTTGTCAACGGTGTGAGACGCCACCGCAAGGTCTTCAACGCCCTCCTGAAAACCTCTTCTATTCAGTTGAAGTGGACGTTATCCTGACTTCCATGCATCCGTATTCTCTTTATGTTACGCAATGATACTGGCATCTTAATTTTACTCTGCTTATGTCCAGATAATTTGTGCTGAACGCAGACTTGCATTATCTGCTTCCCGAGTTTGGGAATGCCTACTGCGCGTCGGCCTTGTCTGTCGTGGTAAAAACTATTCAGGCCGGATAGCTCTTCAGCTAGTCAGTAGCAGAGTGTCGAACCGATATTTTTATCGGTTCGGTTCGGGTTCGGGTTCACGGCTTTCGGTTCAGTTCCGGTTCAGTTCCGGGGCGCAAAAATAACGGTTCAAACCGGTTCGAACCGGTTCATACCGGTTTGAACCGCTAAATTGAGAATATATTTTCTGCGTTGTTCTGTCAATAGGCACTATTTAGGCCATGAATCTAACTGCTGTAAACAATCTGATTTTTGCGAGGACCTATTTTTGAGAATTTCGCGAATCGCCTACAATTCGCGAAAAATGGGTCCCGCGAACAATTTCGGTAAGATGTAAACAGATTGATATTTATATTGAGATTCCACCGCGTCGAGAAAATTACAACCCACGAATTATTCCAAAACTTCAGCTTTGACCTAAATCGCGAAATATTGAGCCCACGAAAAATAAGTCGTTTACAGTATATAGTTTTCTTTTTTTTTTTATTGTTTGTTCAATCCAGTTTTATTTTCAGGTACAAAAATTATAAAATTCTGTTATTTATACCTACACAACAAGAAAGGAAAATCTCCATTAACATACCAAACGTCGTGTCTATACGACTCAACCTCCCTTCGTTTACCAGAGTCACATACATTGTACCTGAATCGAAATGTTTTCGCGAAGTGAAGTAGGTTGCCTAAAATACCCGTGACAGGAACAACTTTGTATCGCAGTATTAGATGTTGAATCGTGGTTTTGCCCTTGAACTAATAAATTAATTACAGTGAATAAAATCATGAAATGGGCACCTCGTCGCCATATATACCATAAAATGTGTTTTACGGAATACATTTCACAATATATATATGACGACGAGACGACTGATCTTAAGGCAATATAATTTTAAAAATGTCACGAAAGTCACGGGACAAGTCCTTCCACTCTATATTTTATTAAAACACTAAGCGACAATCGCAATGCTTGTTTTTTCTAACTAGCATTGTTTGCTCTCAGCACCATGATGCGGGCGACGAATCATGCGAAAAGGAGTGGCTGAAATTGTTCACTCTAACCTATGAGCACCTTCGTACTGAGATCGAATCTGACCTAAAACAGTGCTTACCCATGCGAACATTTTCTATATTGGATAAACTGGCATAGCCTGGTTCTGAGGTTTGCTCTTGACAAAATGCCGGTCAATTTAATTTGCAAATAAGCATCACCCTCTCTAATTGATGATTTTTGTCAAATAGAACAAAGTGGGATTTCATGCTCTACTCAATTCGGAAGCTACTTAGTTGGACACTTTCTGAGAGTTTAAGTGTGCAATCGTCATAGTTCCATCATTCGTTCCAGTAAAAAAAGGCGATAATAAAAACACATAAAAAACGCAATAATAAACTTCTATATATTTGAGAAGTTATATATGCGTGAGGAACACATATAGTTATTTAAATTAGCTTCAAAATAAAAAAACAACAACATTATTTAAAGCTTTTCCAAATCACCTATAACGTGTCTATAGAGGATAAAAGCGCCGAAAAAGATTTGCAGAACATCTTTCAGATAATTTAAAAGTGCATTTACATATATATCTTTGAGGTGAGGATCTTCTATTTATGCTGCCAAATCTTCAGACAGGAATTAAGTACATTTGTATTATCATCGATAAATTTGACTTTATGAAGTTCACATAACCGCCTGAGACCGACACGGAAGGACGATACTCGAAAATACGCCAGCTGTTGAGACTTCGGCAACGTGCTTTTGTTAGCTGTTTTGCAGTGTAAAATACTGGGTTGCAGGGTATGCCAAAAAACACTGTGATCACATGATATATCGCAAGGCAAATACACGAAATGTGCGGAAATAAGGAGATGACACGCAATTTTTTCTAAATAATCCCTTACACAACGCTTTACTGCAAAAAGAGATGCATAGAAATGCATAAAATGATATTCCTAATTAAACATAGATTCCTCGCAGGGCAAATGAAGATTTTTAGAATCCTAATATAAGTCACTTTTGGGCATCAGCTTGCCTCAGCTCGAAACGTCGCGAGATACTACTAATGTTATCTTAGGTTTTACGTGCACTTGTTTTGGGACCTTACTTCACGACTCTGTTCTTTATCAGTCATGTGCTGCAACATTTCATTAGGCTGCCGTATATCATCGCGAGACTGCTATAAATACTACACAACTTTACACCTTGGACGTCTACTGCTAGTGTTGCGAACGTCGCACTTCACCAGAAAGCTGAAGTATTTAACATGGTTTGCACGTGACGTAATCGCACTAGATACTGGTTGTCATTGCGAGTTGTTCTTGCTGAGAATATCAAATCCGATGGGGCAAAATGCACGCTGCAAAATTTTCGCGCTCAGTGCAAGCTATGTATTTGAGAGGCACACAATTTTCTTGTTGGTGCATCGTCGTTAGACACGGCGCGAGTATCTGGCGCGGCGAAAACGTTCTTTCTGGCAAGAGTGTTTTTACAAATAAAAGTTGTACCAACTACCCGTCTGTCACTATCGTTTCCAGGCCACGCTTTCTAGTCTGCGCCGAAAGTGCGCGGTAGAGGAATCTTTACGACACAGTATGCTTTAAAACTACCCCCCTCCCCACTCCCTTTTTTTTAGTTGCTCCTCAAGATACTTTTTATTCCTCAGGGATTGCCTGCTCCGTATTGAGTGGTGTTCACTCGACAATTATATTTGTGTCACTCGTTAACAGTAATTCTTCCTTGCTTTCACTTTGCACCAAACTGTGAAGGTTAAACAAAATACAGGGCGGTCGAAACTTGGAGAACTTGAGAACGACACTCCTGTGAGACTTAGAGCGGCTGCAAACGTTTGGCTATCCCCGTGAGACCACAAGGATCTTTCTTTTCAGCTATCCCTCACGTACACACTAATAGTTCCATGTAACGTCGGACTAATACGTCACATTTAGACCCTTTAACACTTCTATTCTTGGTACAACTTTCTGAGGCAGTTCAGCAATAACAAAAACATGTTTGGGAGCCTCAATGGTGTGCATACATGTAAAATGGGCCGTGCAGCATTTTTTTTACTTTCAGTTCAATAAATACCGCCAAGTTGTAATCCCTGACGTTGATAACTTGCAAAACCATCCATTAGTTTGTTCCTCCGAGAAATGAGAGACAGTCGAAAGAAAGAAATGAAACAGCTTTCCCCTCCTCAACTCGCAATTAGAACTATCAGCCACGTGATCTGATCCTAATATATGCAGCGTCAGTGTTTATCATAGTCATAAGCAGGGTTGGCAAAGCGAAGCATGGGCTAATCTTCAGATATAGTTTTAGTTGGGCTATAATGGGGCCCGAGCCCCACTAAAGCGACAAACAGAAACAAACGACAGCGGCTAGCCTTAAACCAGAGTATTTCGCGATTTGACAGGCTTTGTAGAATAAAGAAGGCTATGCTTAAACACGAGTATCATGCACACGATGGTACCATTTGCAGGCTTGTAAACACTCCTGCTAACTTCGCGAGCACCGAACAACTCAAAGCCGTATAAAGGTACCATCGCGAACATGCTGCATGTGTCTGAGGCTTGTCGCTTTCGTTTGCTTCTGCTTCTAGCTCTAGTGGGACTTGCGCCCATCATAATCTTTGAGTTGAACACGAGCCGTTACCCGAATGTTTGGCGATACTGGTTGTCATGAACCAGAGCATTTGACTCGGGATCATGACAATCGGGTACATCATGGTGTCATGGGACTCTCAGTGCGAAGTTGTGATGTCATGTGACGTCACGGTATCAACAACGTTAATAGATCTAGCGACGTCCTCAATTTGAACCGACTTTACGCGGTGAGTCACGTGACGTCACGGGGTCACGTGATGTGACATTACTTGACGGCATGTCTTGACATTATGACGTCTCGTGACGATGTGACACATGGCTATTCATAGTGCCGATAAGAAAGCGCCGCAAAAAACCAGGATTTATTATACATTGGAATTCTGTATATGACGATTTGATCAATACTTAGAGGAATTAACGTGCCAATTTTTTATTCCCAAATATAAAATTTGTAATACTAACAAAAAAAATTACCGTGAACCGTTTTGAACCGGTTACCGTTATATTTTTTTCCGGTTCCGTTCCGGTTCAGTTCCAAGATGGCGGCGAAGATTTCAGTTCGGTTCAGTTCCGGTTCGGCTAAAAATAACGGTTCTGTTCCGGTTTTCGGTTCGGTTCGGTTCCGGTTCGACACCCTGGTCAGTAGACTAAAAGAAATAAAGAAATCTCATAAAGTCTCTTCTTTTTGGAGCTTCTATTTGGACCCAAAATGGCATCTTTCAATGCTTGTATTTTAGTGTAAGATATGGCATATTATTAAGTAATTAGGCACCCACCTAAATTTCTCTGGTACACAACTGTTTTTTCACAATGTCCTTCTAAACCATTCGAGTTTTATGCAAATTCCAGAGATTTAGAGCATGATAACAGCAAAAATATAATTAATGTTTTTACAAAAATATTTTTTCCCTGGAGTTTAGAGGCTTCTTTATCAGAATTAATATTTAAAGTGTATCCCAGACATGAAAATAAGACTGCTTACGTGTAGGAATGCGAAAGCAATCGTACACACTGCACATTCCTGCAAGCAACGCACCCCCAGTTTTCTGCAGAGGCCGGCCACCGACCGGCCTCTGCTGCCAATGCGCGTGCGCCACCCTCTCCCTTTTATTGGCGTGCTAGCCGCAGTGTCAGGAAGAGGGCTTCTCTGTGAGGTGACATTTCTTGGAACTAGGTATGATGCGTCGCAGCCATTTTAAATGCCATTTTACTGAAGGAAAGAATTTAGGAGCCGTTTTTCGCGTTTTCAAACTTCCGGCTGCGCTCTATAGGACATTTAATGCTTTTGCATTAAAATTGTTGCGTCTCCTTTGGCATGAACTGACCCATCTGCTCCACACTCCTTAACTGGGAAGCGGCTTTTCTGCATCGCACGCGGAGAAGCCATCGTAGCATGCCGATGGGGCATTTGGAGCACTAGCGACAATGTACTGAAAGAGAGAGCCTAGATTTAAGTGAGAAAGCAACTCCAACCATGAAGAGCATTTTCAATTTTATAGCGGACGTCTCGTGAGCAGATGGGCCTGCATTTGGTTGTCTCGTGGCCAGCGTGGCGAGGAAGCCATGCAGAGAGGCGAACACGTTTGCAGATTGTGAATGCTTTTGACTCCTTGCAGGCTGCAGCTCATTTTGCAAACGCAGCCCACAAACCACATGACCCCGATCGGGCAGTTGCCCTCTCTTTTATGTCTAGGCTCTCTTTACCGACGAAGCACGAACTTGAGCGCAAACTTGGTGCCTTGCGCGCTTCTATGTTTACTTCGTGTCCTGGGTTGGCATCGCTGTTCGGTGTGGTCACTCTCTGCACGAGAGCCTAACTTCGCTTAAGCACCGAGTTGGTGGCTCATCGCCACTCAACGATGGCGAGCCCTGGCACCACCAGCACCTCAATGGGAAAGGCGACGACAATCTTCTTCAAACAAGAGTGTGCCACCCTCTCGACGAAGTGCGCATAAACGCAAAGAATGCCGTCCACTACCGGCGTCCTCTACAGAGGCCGTCGCAGCTGTCGACACGGTTCTTACGTAGTTCGCAGGATCGTCTCTCGATCGGAGCTTCTCGCAGTTGGCGAGATCTAGTGGAAAGTGCGTGCAGGGAAGCCTTGACCACTTTCTGCAGGCACGATAAACATGTGCCCGTGACGGCCCGTGTTATCTTTTTGTTTGCGTGTTACTTTTATGCGGTCCAGATATAATGAGGAGGTGGATATAGTGAAGCGATTTTCTATTCCCATAAACTTTGTTATAACCAGTCTCGACAGTATGGCACCGCACAAATGTACCCGAGGCGTTCAATGTTCCTCGGTTACGCCTGTCTGCACAACGCTGTTGTGCAACTCGCGAGATCCAGAACTAAGTACTGTACGATTAAAGAATGGCCAGCAAAATACATAGCTTTGCTTCACATAGTTAGTTGGGGAAATGTGCTCCTGCTTTATTGCTCATGCAGGTTTGAGAAAGGTGGTGAAGCGCTGCTGGTCCTCCTGCCATCTGAAGAGTCCATGGCAGAACAGCTGACGGCTAGAAAAATCCCCATCAACAAGATATTGTAAGTTTCTAGGTATACATTGATTGCAGTTTTAGAGCGTTTTACACTGTCGCATCTGCCTAATAAAGAAAGCTATGAAAGTTAATCTTAATATTTAATTTAAATGCAGAAGATATACTACCTCATTCTGCACTAGTTTTTGATTACCATGGGTCCCACGAGGTCAGTAGGACCCATCAAGCTTCAAAAGTCTATTGCATGACTGCTCCCAGTGAGCAGAGTACTACTGGTCCTTGTTGCAGCACATGTCAGGAGGAAGGTTTAAGCTATTGCATTTTCCACTAATGTATGGACTTCCAATAATTTAGAACCCTCAAAAGAGTGTACCAGTATATATTTAGAGGACACACCACCGACAATGCTTATATATGTAAACTTCGTAAAGATTTTACTCTGCTGGCTCCATAGACTGTAGACATGACACACACAGCAGGCATTTTACAGCAGAGATTGCAGTACAAGGTTGGTGTTCACCGCATTATATATACTACAAAACATAGGAATTTGAACCTTGACAGTCATTCCTAAGGCTGGCAAGCTCTTGTCTGTTCTAAATGCACCTCTTGAATGTTCACTCTAGAGTCAACCCGAGAAAGTTTGTGAACGTCCAAAGAAAGATGGAAGCCCTGTGTGCTCGTGACGTCTCCTTGAAGGAGAGCGCTCAGAGGGTAAGCCCTCCCTTTGTCTCGGCTGTTCTTCCACAGTTCCTGACTCCTCGTTGCTGCTCAGTGTTTTACAGCCTACCTGAAGAGCACGTTCCTCATGAAGGACAAGTCTGTCTTTGACGTCAAGAAGCTGGACTTGGAGGCATTTGCCAGGTAAGTCCCTTGTTTGCTACTTCCCTAAACCAAGGGTTGGCAACTTGTCGTCAGGCAGTGAATCCCTTTTTTTTTTATACTGCGATCGCCCAATTGGTTAAGCCACCATAATCCGATCCAATCCTCAAGGGGTTTCATGCAGCCTGTGACAGGCCAAGTAGGATTCCGTCAGGGTTTCTTCCAGATCCAAACATGCACAACACGTCGAGCTTTCAGGTTTGCAGTGGAAAGTATGTCGGACCCCAGTTTCAGGGATGAACAAAAACTCCTTTACAAAGAAAAATTAAAGGTGTAGTAAACGGTTTTTAAAAACAATAACAATGTGACCTTCGTGGAAAGTGTAGCTCTATACAAAAATACAGCTATATACCGAAAGTGACTTTGTCCAAACTGATATTTTCTTACATAATGAAACAATTGACTATTTTTGTATGCCTAACATTATTTTAGAGCGGGTGGAGCTAATTACCATAGCATAAATCTATAATCAGTAGTTTTATATATCATGATATTTATTGCATTGTAGTTTCATGCCAAGAAAATTATATATTGGTGTAATGTTTGCTTCGGTGTCAAGCATGAGGTCAATTATATGCAGTACAGAATTTGGAATGAAGTCAAGATTTTTGCATCTATGAATTACCTGAAAAATTATATTTTTACTTTATTTTCAGTTTCTTCATATATTGTCAGTATGGTTGAGAACAACTATTTTATGTAATTGGGTGTTTTTAACTCGCCTGTTTATATCTCTGTCATACACATTGTTTGGTCACATGTCTGTGAACTTTCAGCTTTAGCATACCGACTTCACCGCAACTTTGCTCACATGCTTATCAAGACATACGAATATGTTGCCAAAAACAATTGCTATGAATGTTTTCGTTTTTATGCCAGAAGAATTTTACTTTGTTAACTTTGTTAATTTTTTAAAGTGCCGTGACTGGAGGTAAACTAATCTACGAACCCATATTTCGAACCAGAGGTTGGTCAACTCCATTGGTGACAGGCTGGTTGCAATCAAGCATACAGGCAGCTGGCCAATATTGGTGGTTGAGGATTGGAGAAAGGCAATATCAGACAGCTTATTTTGTCAAGCACCAAGCACAGCCAGTAACAAAGTCTATATACAGTAAAACCTCGTTATAACAACACGGGATATAACAAACTAATGGATATAACAAAGCAATCATAATTCCCCTTGCTTGCTAATAGTGGGAAGAAATGGACATTGGCTATAACAAACTAATGGTTATAACGAAATAATTACGACCGCTCCTTCAACTTTGTTATAACGAGGTTTTACTGTATGTTGGATTTTTTACAAACAGTGTTAGATAAAATATCCAACACAAGAGCTGATTACAAAGCAAAAGGGGTAGTGGTACATCAGATGTGTGAAGGCATTGATTTCATATCCTTGGAGTTGCTATTAAAACTTGTTGACCTTTTTTGTTTGTTGTTTTTCACAGGTCTCTTGGCTTGGCTGTGGCACCTCGGGTTCGTTTTCTGCAAAAACACCTGAAACAAGTTCAGGCAAAAGAAGAAAAAGACAAGGTTGCTCGCCGAGGCGACGCTTTGCAGCCGTCTCATTCCACTGTGACAGAAGACCGCCTGGGTGGCGCATCCCCGTCACCGTGGCGGGGCTCCGACACCAAGGCATTCCAGTTCTACACGCAAGACGACAGCGAGGACTCTGACCTAGAGGACATCTTCACGGTCAAGCAGAGGATCACGTACGACTCGGAGGTAAGGGACATACTCTACGGAAAAGGTCAGGTTTGGAGATATTGTAGCTTCTCTCGTTGCTTTGTTGGGTAGGCCCAATGAACTTCTAAGTTTTTTGTTTGTTCTCTATAAAAGAAAATATATGCAGAGTTTTGACCAATGGGGGACGTGGATTTAAACAAATGCAGTGATTTTCGTCTCCACTTTTGGCAATGCTGCAATCAATCTTTTTATTTGTTCAAAGTTTCAATAGGCTTTGTTTTAGGTCTGAACTTAGTGCTGCTTTATCTAGGATGCAGCACCCCCCTGTTTACTTGTGGTACACTGTGGACCGGCGAGTTTGATTTGTGAATGACCTCTCTTCAGGAAAATGCAGAAGCAGAGCTGCCCGCCGATGAGGAGCGGAAGAAGAAGAAACCCCTGACAAAAGCGGCAGTTGCTAAGAAAATCCTAAGGAAGAAGCTCGTCGCCAACACTAAGGTCGCTTTTGACGAGGAGGGCAAGGTTAGCGACCTTGATTATTCAATTTATATATTTTTTTAGGTAGTTGTATTACAGATGAGGGTGGTACACCTTCAGATGTGTTTGTTAGAATAGATTGATGAGGATGCCAGGCCAACGAATCATGATACTATGGTAATTTATGGGCAAACAAGTACTATGATGTAAAGTAGCCGTCTGAGATTGAAAAGAGCAGGTTTTGCACAAAGCATATAGATTACGCAGCCAAGACACTACCCACAAGTATTTTTGCCGTGAAGTCACATATTTGTGAAAAACAAACAAGTCAAACCGGAACTGAAAAGGCAAGAGCGGTGACCTATAATGTCACAGTGCTCTGTAGTCTACACCATCAGAGTTTCTCTAAATTATTGTGATTATGGAATTTCATTGGTCATAAAAATTATGCTCTCTGAATTCTATTAGTAGTACTTTTAATTATGAATATGTGCCTTAGACGACCTACAACAATGTTTTGTCCACTATGTTATCATCGCATATGGAAAAAATAATAAGAGCAACTCCAAATACCTAAGTCCTGACAAAAAAGAAAGGAGCTGCAAGTGTATTTTATATGGGTAGCTAGGCCCTTGTAGACCATTTCAGTGGAAATCTTGGCAAACATAAATTTCGTTTCAGTGTCACTTTAAATTTGTGACAGCAGCATTGAGCCAATAACCCATTGCACCTTCATTCCGTACTAGGCAAAGTTACAAGCTGTTAGAGCCTATGTAGCATTGTAAATGCCATATCATCATGTTGTATCCAAACTAGCTGATCACATTAACCCCTTAACCATTTAGGACGAGCCTAGCTCGTCAATGTGGAGCTGCCCCCAAACCGTTCAGGATAAGGCAGCTTTCCCGGTTCACGCACTCAATTGTTTTGGACGAACCAGGCTCTCTCAAGCTTAGTTTGAGGCTCTGCCAACAAATAGCAACGCTGTTTTTTTTTTTGTTTTTTTTTTAATTTTTTTGTTTTTTGCAGGTTATTGAAGAGGGCGTGAACGTCCAGAAGGCAGACACGATAAAGGAGCTGCTCAAGGATGAGAAGACACCCTGTGGCATTGACCTGGAGATCTCCAAGAAGATCCTGCAGGAGGAGGACAAGTTTGACAAGCAGCGCGACAGGGAGAGGGTCAAGGCAATGCACAGGGTACGGTAGCTCTCCTGCTGCAGACCATGGCGAATAGTGTCCGATTTTGGTCTCAGTGAAAGCAAGGGCATCCTCAGCTGCCAATTGGATGCGGCGCCACAGCTTGCGCGACATCTGGCAGTGAGATTTTATTGGCCCGTTTGCAAGTTCACAGTCGGGCAATGTTTTGGCGAGGATTTCTCGCCAACATACAAACAGCGAGAAATGTCTCGTGGCCTTTGATGTGCTCATTCTGAGTACTCCTTCGTCCACCGGTCAATGTCAGCTTGAATACGGCAGTGGAACAACTTGAGGTTTGAAAAACAGGCGCGGGTTGTCAATGGCTTTTAACGCTAAATAGCAGACGATCACAATTTCAGCCCGCGTCCGATCTTGCCCCGCCACGGCGCTCGGTTCATAGCAGACAATCGACTTTTTATTCGGTCTGTTTGCAGACTATGTACAACGTTTTACGGTTTCACTTCCGTCTGCGAATGACGCTTTTTAGCAGACAGACGGCGTTCTTCGCTCACGTCAGCAGACGTGCTGTCTACAAGCGCTATCTCGGCTCACTCCACGAGGGGCAAATTAGATCTCGCTCTCGCAGCGACCAAAATCGGACCCCCGAAGTGTGTCTCCGACTGTTCTGTTTAGTGCGTCCTTGAATGTGATTCCTCGATTTCCGACCGAGGATGTGTAAAAGTACCACACTGTTGCGTGTTGCGATCCCGGCAGTGGCGGAGCAGCAGAGGATCACAGGTTGAGATTTGTTGCCATTTCGGGACTGCTTTCGACGCTCGGGCAGTAGGGGATGCTAAACGCTCCATTCGGGGATGTGTTTTGGCCACCATACTGCAGATTCATTGTCGCTGGTTGAGGGACAACTCTGCGCCGTAGAGATGTGGCATGTGGAGAAGCTGTTGCTTTCTAACATTTTGTTTTTGTTTTGCTGCTCCTCAGGCAAAGCGGTTGAAGCTGAGACAAGAGCGGAAGCAGGAGCAAGGTGAAGTGACTTTGGATGCGGTGAGTTTTGTGGTTTACTTTTGGTAGGGTAAGAAGTGGTGTTACCATAGCGCGTTATATAATTTGTGTAAGAACAGGCTAAAGTTGGGTAGATCAAATGGTGCTACTAATAAATGAGGAGGGTGTTATGAAATAAAAATAATGCTCAATTTTACATTTTACAAGTTGACTTTTTTCTAAATAAAAAGTAAAGAGTTTTTTTATTCTTTTTATTTGTGTAATTATAAAGGGCATGGTTTTCTGATGTTTTAGGCCCTGGGAGTGGGGAGCGATCGACAGTGTAATGTGTGAATGTTGGTGAAACTTTGTGAGTTCATAGATCTAAATTTGAAGCTGGAAATGTTTGACAGAAATTTACTTCAAAAACATATCCAGATATGCACCTTTTTCGTTTAGCCTCGCACCCAGCCACGTTGTTTTCATATCCGGTGTGCGTTCCGAAAAAAAAAAGCAAGAGATTACAACCCCGAACAAGTAAAAAAGTATAAAAGGGTCATAACAAGAACGACTGACAGTTGCAATTAAAATGTTAACACACTCTAGTGTTGAGACGAGAAGAATGTGATGTTTGCACGCATACCAAACGTTCCAGAATTGAAGATGGCAGCGCCCATGTAGAAAAGGTGTATACCAAGCATGAAACTCAGCAGTGCTAGGATCGTTTGGTCCTACTGTTTTGGCAAGACAGATCACCTTATCCAACTATTGAGATTGACTACTTCCAGTGCACGCAACACTGCGCGCATTACATTATGGGGCCTCTTTTGCCATGGAGAGGAGTGGCATGGTTTCGATTTTGATTGCCCCATTGGTAAAGTACTGCGTCTCGGCACTGCCTGAAAATAAAATCGGTGCTTGCTTGCATTGTACCCATTCATCTTCGTGAGAGCCTCCGCTGAGACATGGACCCCCAACAGCCTTAAGAACCTGCCTAAACTAAGCGAGGAGTAAAAGCATGTCCAGCTACGTCCCATACCTTTCTGGCAGCCTGGCTACAATCCAAAATGCAGCATGACCCTCCTGGGTCAACATTCGTTTAGGAAGCCCAAGACATTGGGACGATGGAACAGTCTGATCGGTCCAGTGCACTTCTTCTTGCTGCAATTACCTGCCACAGAGTCTAATATGTCGGGAGCCCCCAAAATGTGTGTCCCAGCATTCTGTTCGCATTGGTAAGCATTCCCTTGCAGTACTAAGTACTAATATAAATTTAAAAAAAGTCAAATATTCAAAAATGCACGCACTGTATTTGGTCGTGACAGGGTGTCAGAAATCGAGGTTGGCAAATCGACACCGAAACCGTGACCATTAGATTCCCGAGATGCTTTGCGCTGCACTACGCTGCTAGAATCGCTTCGATTTTGCAGGAGGTCTATTGAGTAGATAGCAGTTTGTATGCAAGGGGATTTCCTTGGGTGCTGAACCACACAAAGTGTTGATTTTGCTTAGTGCTTCAGAACCGAAACCTCTACTCAGTTAACTATTGTGCATTGCAAATGTACAAGTAATTGGCTTTTCGTATGGGGGTGTAAGAAGAACTTTGGTCTCATCTTGCAATTCATCTTTTCTTCCAAAGGAGAGTGGTAATGAGGAAGAGAAGGAAGTGGAAGGCAGTGAAGAGGAACAAAGCAACAATGAAGACTCGAAAAGCGGGGAAGAATCACACTCTGGTTCGGAAGACGCCGACACTGACGAAGAACGACTTCCCCAAGCAAGCAGGTATGTACACCTTTTCAGAGAGAACTCGTGGCACCTATTGCCAAGAAAGAAAAGACAACCTCTATGGGCCTCCAGCACTTCTTTGCAACTCAAAGCAGGTGAAAATTTCCCAGTTGAGCATAGAATGCAAACTGAACCACCTACTTTGAAGTGTTTTATGTGATATACACAGGGAAAAACCCCATGAATCAAAGGTGCCATGGGCATCTGTAAATCGGGGATTTAACATGGTCGCATTTAGAATTCTCCAAAGCAGCTTTGTCCCAAAGAAGAGATAAGTGATCCCTTTTATGCTTGCTTCAGTATGGGAGAATATTTTTTAAGTTGGCATAAGAATACCATAATTACAACCTAGTGCTTCTCAGTGCCAGGAGATTTTAGTTCCTTACTTCAATATATTTTGCATTAAAACAGGGTCATAGTAAATCTTGATACCTCCATCAGTGAAGACATGAGCAATGTGTCACACTTGCCATGGGGCCTCTGTGAACATTCACCTCTGAAGGCCGACTCCCAAATTTGTTTTCTGCCTGGCAGAAAAGCTTTTCCCCATGTCCTTCTTTCCATTCCCTCTGACTTTTTTCTCTTCATACTAAAGCGGTGTCTGGGAGGTCATCTCTGCAAAAAGGGGTAGGGCTTTCCCTTTTTCTTGAAGTGAAGATCGAAAAAAGGTTGGAGGGACGTTTTTCTTTCTTTCTGGCGGAAACAATCTTCAGGCTCGCTGTTCGGGAAACCTAGAAATGTTGACAACAACCACTTTTCTAAAAGTTAGAAAGTTGTTGCGAATTCAAAGAGTACTATTTCAAAACTTGTTTTTTAGCCAGGTAGTTTCTGGGGAACTGCTATTCAGACAAACCTAACATCTTTGTTACACAAGAAATGTTGGCCAATTTGAAATTTTCCAGATGTCTATGGATGGTACCGTCAGGATTGTCCTTGATCTGTTGAGTATGACTTTCTGCAAACAGTCCAAGCATCCTTCCTCCCAATAAATTAGTTGAAAAGCTTAGCCAGATACTGATACTGCATCATTAGAGAGCAAGGAAAAGTCATAGGACGAAAAATGGTTTCTGTGGCATCTTTGCAAACTTTGCCCCGCAGGAGCAAACGGCCCTTGGGTGACAGGGATAGCAAAGTGGCGTCAAAGAAAAGAAGAGTAAGCGAGGAAACTTCGGACGAGGAAAGCGAAGAAGACGAATTGGCTCCCCTGGATACAGGCCTTGACTTGCTGGGAGATGAGGCTCTTGCCTTACACATGCTTTCACACAAGTAAAGGGAGGCAAAGAGTTTTATTTAAACATCCTGTAATATTTTCTGAATAAATCGCTGTCTGTGCCATTTCCCATCTTATCTTTACTGAGTATGAAAAAGAAGCAATCATGCCGAGGCATTCATTTCATGTTTCTGAGCACCATGCATGAACATGCAACAATGTACATCGTTTATTGTAATATAATGCCACTAGGTGTAGTAAAAGCACCAAACATTATTAAGTGTGTTTTTTTAACCAAAATTGGCATTTACTCTATGAGAAATTCTTTTATATATTACTTCACCTTGCTTGACAAATCTATGCCGTGGGTAGGAACCTCAAAACATGCGAGTTCCTTAGATGCCACATGGAAGCTATTGGCTATCACATTTTTTGTGTAGGCACATTGAGAATGATAGAGCTTGTAGTCACAACCACTGTTTAGAAGCTGCTATGCTTATTATGCACGTTTTTCTGCAACTGTGTTGATCTTGAGTGAGCCCAAACACAAGCTCTACTGGGGCTTCTCTCCGTAACCGAGGCACCACACTTGGTCGCCGTCGGAGACACGCCTGATCTTTGCTTCCCATCCTCGCTTCAGGTACTCGTAGTCTTCTGAAGAAAACTTCTGTAAAATTGACGGCAGAGCATTGAGTTAATTATTGTTCTTCTATTTGCATGTGAATCCAGAATTTAAAAAAAAAAAGAAGGCATTATCTTTTCTAATGAATCCAGAATTTAACATTACCTAACAGACCTCTTGCTATATTACCCAAGCATCAAGGAGAGTGCAGGGATTGGTGTTCCACGCGCCACACGCGCACGCCTTTTCCGTATAAAAGATTCAAAGTAAATAACCAAAATAAAGCATCGAGGAACCCGCGTGCAAGATGCCGTTTGTTTTATGTATTTGCTTTAGAAAAGCTACTACTGCTGAGGCCAGCACGTGCGGCGCGTGGAACACCAATTCCTGCATTCTCCTTGATGCTTGGGTAATTTATCAATAGGTATATTCAAAAGTTAGGAGTGATTTTCTTAAATTTGTAATGAGAAATGGCAGTCATTTTTAGCAGTGGACTCCATTCATTCCCTGCTACCCACCATTATTAAAAATTTCAAACAAATTGCTTCTAATCTTTTCATTGCATAAGGCTGATATCTAAAAATTTGGCATCTTATCCCAAGCCGGGATGCGTTTGAGGTGTCTGGGATCTGCTGAGTATAACTGGTAAAACATTTTTTTTTTTGGTTATGCAACAAAATAATGTAGACTTTCTTTTGTGTGTGTGTGTGTGTGTTGCACTGTGGCAATTGGTGTGGGGTGATGAACTCACCTTCAGAAAGTCATCCTTTTGTGTGTTTAGTTTGTCCAACTCCACCCTGAGGACCCTAAGGAACTCCTGAGATATGTCCTCAGATCGAACCTTCACAAATCCAGTTTCCTTCATCAGCTGCAAAACAGAACGAAAACTCACCTTGGGCACTTTTTTTCTGATTTTCTTGGTAATACGTGCTGATGGAACTCCATCTATAAACCGTCCACCCTTAAGCTGACGATGCAGGATGAGCTATGCACCCGCTGGATCATTCAACCACCCCCTTTCATTGCCTGAACTCGGAGAGTGATCACGTGGCGAATGATAGACGTACGACTGGTCCAAGGAACGGGTAGCTTCCACCTCACTGCCAGCTCAGGGGGTGAACGGAATATAGTTGACACATCCTGAGATTAAAGTTAACCACACATTGCACGCTGTTATAATCCATACTCACGGATCCATACTGCTGCACAGTGAGTAGATTGTAGCCTCTTTCTGCCACATACTCCTTAAATTCGTCAGAATGGTCTCGGTCCCCTCGGCAGTAGTCGGTGAACACCACTTTTCCGCCGGGCGATAACCATTTCTGGAATGGCAACACGGTTATTACTTCACCATATTGAGTACCCCTGCATCTTCCTTGGGAAGTTATTGCGGGAGATTTGTAATTATGATTATACCGTAGTGGTTTTCCACTTTGGGAATGCAGCATACCTTTTAATTTGACGGATGCAAGCTTATGAAACGGGTGTATCAACATCTAAGAAATTTTAACGCGATAGCGTTTAGGAGTACATGTCGCAGAAATCCCGGCGTCGGCGTCGGTGGGACCAGCACTGCTCAAGGCGGGGAAGCCGCCTTGAGGAGCGCCGGATTTCGGGGCTGGACATTATTTTCGCTCTGCGTTCGCGAAATGGACCTTGCACTGAAGCGTGACAATCGGTAAGCACCTCGAACCTTCGGACATTGAATGTGCCACTTAGACACGTGTAATTGCGTTCTTTTTATTACGCAAGCGCCGTTTCAAAGCTGCCGTGTATAAACAGACAACAGAACGACCAATGACGCAGCGCGCTTTGGGGGGACTTGGGCGAGAGATGCAGGACGGCGCATGTGCGGTGAATCGCCACCTCATTGGCCTCATGTCGTCGCGCACATCGTCTTTGGCAAGAGCGACATTTACTTATCCCCCAATACTTAAAGTCATATATTTGAGACCGAATTGCTATACGGAGAGCAAGTCGTCTGCTTCTTGCGCAAGGGTTGCTGTGACGTCAGAACGACGCCGAGTTCTGATTGGCTTTGATTGGAAGGATAGTGGGTAGACCATTGTAGACCTCACTGCTAGATGTCTTAAGCTCTACCAACCATTTTTTTTCTCTTTTTTTTTTCAATCATCCAATAAGAGTTAGGCGTTCTGACATCATCGCAACCTCTGTGCAAGAAGCAGACGAACTTACGCCCCGCATATTCTGCTCCGCGAGCGGGTCATATGAAGTGAGGAGACGTGTGCGCCGCCCCACCTTCAGGACTCACATAGAATCGGCTGAAAAGGGTGTGCTTGTCAGCAATGTGAAGCAGCGTGTCTCTGCTGTAGATGACGTCGAAGCTGCCTTCCTCGAAAGTGGCCCTCGTCGCATCCAGGACCTCGAAGTGAATCTGGGGGCAAACATACAAGCGCGTTTCCAAGCTCCATCTCAAAGTTACGATTACGGTCCCGTGGGTCACCAAGGCGCACCCGTCCGGGTGCCAACCGAAAAGTGGCGTAGCGAACTCGAACCTCCTGGTGCCACGAGGTTAATCTGACTCGCCCCGTCTCGTTAGAGCCACTAAAACAATCCCAGATTATTTTTTTAAGGGCGCCGCCATTTTGGTGCTTAGTGCAGAGCAGGCAGACGATAGCGTGCTACGCTGTCGTGGACCGTTTCAACATTTATGGAGGACGTAAATCCGATTTCTACGATTTCAGATCAAGCTTCAGCTGATCGGCTACAATTATTTTAAGCACGAAACGGCTAGGAGGCGTAAGCTACCGCCCAGTTATAAAGGGTGCAACCGTCAGCATCCATCCGACGGCTGAAGTGTCATCAGTGTCATTACGTCTGGCCAGGCTTGTTAGACCCATATAGTTATTATAGTGCGTACATTATAATAACTCTATGGTTGGACCAGGCGAAGGTAGGAAGTTCGCGCTGGCGGTGCAACAACTGGACCTTCCCGCCGTTCTAATTCTGTCGGCGACTGTAGATATGGAGCCCCAGAAGGTTCCACAATAAACTAGAATGAAGAGCTTGTTTGACGACTGTAGTCATGAACCTCTAAACGTAAAAGTAATATTGTTCCAATATTATTTCTGTACTTAGTTTCACCAGAAGTCAAAGCGCTGTCAAAGGTTAGGAGACATACACATAGCTTATACAGACGCACATACAAAAAGCACGGTCACGGCGGGTCACGGCGCATTCACCGCCCCTGTTTGGTTTAGCCGATGGTATACTTGTAAACGTACAAAAAAAAACGCACGAAAGCCACGTGACGTTGCACTTTTAGCGCGGCATGATTGGTCCCATTAGATCATAGCTTTGGCTGCGCTCTGAATTAAGGTGAAACGAAATAACGCAGTCGATGTTCGAGTACGATCCTTTGCTAGAGTTTTCCCACACACGCACACACAGAATTCCTGTGTGCTCTGTTCTACCTTGTCGGTGAGATGTGGTCTCTTGGTGAAGTGCTCCAGGGCCACGGACATCATGTTGACGGACAAATCGACTGCCAAGATCTTGACGCCGTATTTCTGCAGCATCGCGCATCAAGGGTTAGACGTGTCGCCATCGCCGTAACCGAGGCTCTAGAAAGCTCCGTTCACCTCCGCCATGTAGAAGTCGTGTCCTCCAACTCCGCACCCAACGTCCAAGACACGATCCCCCTCTTTGAGGTTCATCTTGTCCACGATGTCCTGCGCACAAGGGTCCCAAAGTCATCTAGGAGCTCGCTTGTATGTGCTCGCAAAAAGCTGAGGCACACCTAAGCATTTCTTATGAGTTGTGAATGCGAAAGCATGCAAGCCGCTCGTCCGCTCCCTTTGTCGTCTGCTCGTCCGCTCCCTTTGTCGTCTGCTCGTTTGCTCCTTTGTCGTCTGCTGCGTATTAGCGCGCGCGCGCTTCGGGATCTCAAAGGCCATGGCGCAGCGGCCAATGGGAGCCCCGTCGACGCGCGCCAGCCAATGGAACCGAAGACGAATCGCTCCTATTGGGATAGCGGAAACTAGGAGCCGTTTTCGCGCTTCAAACTGATGACGTCAGCTCGCTTCATGAGGCAGTTAATGCTTTCGCATTAAAATGTCTCGGGTCGCGCAGAAATTTAGTAATTCCAGTGAAGGCCGGTTCACACACTAGCGTCTGCTAACGACCGGACAGGCTTAAAACCGGCCTAAATCCTCTTGTGACTGCATGCTTACGACCGCTGCGCAGACGGTCGTAAGCTATAACAAGAGGTTTAAATGCCGGTTGTGGCGTGGTCGATTGTGGTCAAACGCAAATATGTAATTTATTAGCCTCAACGGTCGTAATCAGTGTTAAGTGTGTGAACCAGCCTTTATGTGCAAAAGCACATTTCTTGGCTGACGTTTGACAAAGAACGTAGACAGGAACGGAAGCCAACGGGGTTAGACTGTATTCGTGAATAGTCACCCTCGTTGACACAAATTGGCAGCACTTTAGTGCCGCCATCTGGAATCCTGAAAAAATTCACATCGGAGATGAAATTTGAAAACCATGGCAATGTCGTAGTGGTAGGCGCTCTGCTTACGCTTTAGTTGGGTTCAGGACCTCCTCGAATAGCCTGCCTCTACTTTCGGATGTGTCAATGAATCCAGAAGAGGCGTCATGATTTTTTTTACTATTCTGGCGTAAGAAAAACACGAAACATTGGTGCGCGTTGCGAGCTAATATTTCCCTCAATATTTCCCTCGGATTTACCTGGCAAAATTTCACAACTCAACTCTCTCGAATAAACAATAAAATTAATACTAATAATAAAACGAACCCCTTATTTTTCAGATGATCGATGTCATTTTAAACTGTTTGTTCAGCATATAGCATAGTGGGAAATTTCGTTGCACACAAACCTCCTGCAAATCACTCGATAAGCCTTCACACACATGTTGAGCGTTTTAAACGGTATTTGAGGGCGCACAATGATTAGTGTTTGTCAGAAATGCACTTATGTTTCGATCTAGAACAAAAAGAAATAGGTCAGTCAGTGATTCGGATCGCCGCCATGGTTAACGGGCCGCGTGTTTTCGTCAGCTAAACATCGCTCACGGTAGAACTATTTCAGACAAAACCACGTCTATAACGGTGTTTAATACCATACAAAATTCCGGAGGCTAGCTTGAAGTTATTCAGAAATTAAAAAAAAAAAAGAAGAAAACTTATGGTGCACTGTTCAAACAGCATTCTCGTAGTTTCTTAACTAAGCACTTATTCGCGTTGTCTGTATGTATCAGTCCTAACGCGACGAACAATGCATAGCTAACATTGACGTCACGTCAGCAGCCATTGTGGTGACCTTGCTGCTGAGCGTTTACTTAATTCTGCAACCTACATTTCACGCCTCCAACTTTTTTCTTTTTTTCTTTTTTCACAGCAAGAACAAGGGGGAATGCCCACCAGCACGGTGCGATGTCCGTCACGGGCAAGCCCCGTAAATGCCAATGCTACACAATGAAAAAGAGCGCACAAATGGCAGGACAACAGGAGAGAGACGCACAGAACACACAAGTGTCGTGGTCGTCTGCGAGCTATCTTATTACGGAATTTAATTTACTAGGTGTTGTCCATGGCCAAATTAGAACAGATAGTCGAGCGCATCGTCGTCGTCCTCAGTGGGTTCTGGCACGCGCCTAAGCCGTAGCTCTACACTATTCACCGCATTCGGTGGGAGTTGGTACCACGAGGGCGCCACAGTATTTGGTGCCCCACTAGACTTCCGGTAGTGTATTTATTTCTTCTTCAGTAACACACAGCGATCGGAAAATATGATTTTCCTTCGGAGAGGTACCTGTAATAGGTTTGTAAGAACCTACGCGCTTTGTAGAACGTAGTACAAATAACAAAAGGATGTGTGACAAGAGGAAAAGAAGAGGAAAACCGGAAGTGCGCAGGGGTCCGCCGATAGTGGGCGGCAGCGAGCTTATTTGCAAACAAACATTGGTGAAATTCACTGGCGGCCATATCCGTGTGCGCTGCTGCTGAGCGCGTGCTGACGGCGAGCTTCCACAGTCCTTTTGGAGCGTGCATTTAGCACCATCAAGGTGGCCGGCCTTAGCAGGCTATTAATGTGAGCTCGTTCTGAGCATGCGCTCTAAACATCACCCTCAAATATGGCGTCCAGTGAATACCTCCTATTGTCCCTCTACGTTTTTTTTTTTTTCGTTTTTTTTTTGTTTTTATTAAGAAGTTTCATTCTGCTCAACAATTTCGCCAAGTTGTAATAGAGACAAGAGTTATTTCTGCAGGTATTGTTGCTGGTGCACTTTTGTGCACTCACGAAATTCACGCCAAAGTCACAGTCTCTCTGCAACACCAAATTTCAGCAGATTTGCGCTTTTTGAAGTTGTGCCGCGGAGTCTTATCACGTACGTCCTGGCGCGCCTTCGCACGCCAGAACGTACGTTGTCGGCGTGCCATTGTATCGGGTTTCATTGTTTTATTAAGTCCTACACTACCGATGCTCAAAAAAAGAATCGTCGAAAAGACGACATATACACGAAAAGATAAGTATACCGACAATGTTGGTCGCGCGGGATGCTGCCCTTACGAAAATGGCGACACCAGGAAGCAAGGGCCAGGGGAGAGGGTGCGCAAAAGGTTCATTGGCCATGGGTTACCGAACAAATAATTGCCACGCTATGAACAATCTTTTTTTTTTATTTTTTTCTTATCAAATTATCTAAATTAACACTCCTTGACATGAATTTGCAGAGATAGTTAAAAATACCGGATGCGATCGAGAAAATAAATCCTATTTTTTGGCCCGCTTAAATGAACTACGCATCGTAGAAATCTGAAACTCCGTGAGAATGTGAGACGTCGGCTCATAGAGAAATTTTTTTTCCTTTGGGTCTTTTGATCCAGGTAACGTCACCTCACTCTTTAGCGTTTGGTCACCACCGCTAGCGTCATATTCTCACAGAGTTTCGACTTTCTGCGATGCCTAGCTTTTTTTGTTTCGTTTAAAAAAGAACAGCTTTAATTTTCTCTGTCCAACCTGCATATTGTTTGCAACTTGCCGATGAAATGCCTAATAGAAAAAAAGAAAAAAAATTCCGGTAGTGGTTGCGCACCTTGGCGGTTTCGAGTCCTCCGCTGCTGAGGAAGGTCTCCCCAAAGATCCATTCGTAGCGCCGCACGCTTTGCTGGCTGTACTGCTTCTGGTCCAGGAACTCCTGGAAGCTGTTGTAGTTGTCCGTCGTGCGGCTGCTACTCATCTTGGTCGCCAGGAAGCACACTTGGCCCGGGTTGTTCTTGTGCTGCGCGTCACGTTCCCGTTCATCAGGGTGGTGACACTGATAGGATTGACCGTCCAATATTTAAACTGCCTAAACAACGCTATTTTTTTTTTCTATCGTGTTACTTTGTTGCATGAGTGAAGGGGAACAAATGCGTGGTTGCAGCTTCGGAGGCTGACTAGATTGTACAAATTACTGCTATGCGCCCCATGCAGCTGCTACTTAAAGTTTTATAGATATCGTCTTTTATTTATACCTTTTTACAGTTGACTTGGCACAGAACATGTGATCATAAAACTTTCTTTTTTTTTTATTTTTAGTTACGTGACTAATTTGTTATGCGTTGCACCGCAGTGTAGACAAACAACCTATACTTATTGAATAATGCAAACGTGCTGGTTCAAGAGACACTGCAGTGTCAAAGAGGTAGCACGAAAGAGACAGTATCACAGTAACACGCACAAATAGAAACAAAACACGAACCTTGCTTCTTTGTTTCTGTGTTTCTGCGATGTGTTTTTATCGACCACAATTCGCAGTTCCAAAATGTCAAAGAAACAATTTTTTTTCTTTCTGCTTTTGTTTGTAAAGAGCGCAATATTTATTATATACTCTACTACGCCCTAGGAAGTATTTATCTAATAATTTGAAATGCAGACTCACAGCGAGGTTTTCCTTACTTTCGAAGCGGGGTTCAACCGTCCGTTAGGGGAGACAGTCCCTGTGACGATAGCACTCTCTCTCTCTCTGACGGACTGGACACCGAGCGGCGGTGCTTTATCGCAAGCTCGCATCCGCTTCGTCGCAGAATGCGATTTGAAGCAGCACTCGAGCGCTTCTGCTCGCGCCCTTATCGTGGACGTAGGCGAGAGATCTCCTCATGCCTCACGACACTGCCGTAGCGTCGGGCCATCTGCCGAACTCGTGACGTCATCAGCCCATGACGACTACGTGGCGAAGCAGAATAGCGCAGACGTCGTCCAACTTTCATTCCCTCCCCCAAACCAAAATTGACATACGAAGCTAAGGCTTCGAAACACTTCCTTTGCTTTCCCTTCTGCAATACTCTCTCTCCCTCTCTCTTCTGGAATGCTGTTGACTCTACTGCGAGGAGACGGTGGCGTCGACGCAACCGCACGGACAGTTTTTCACGCGCCCCATCGGCGTCGGCGTTTCTCTGCGTCGGCGCGCATCGCTCGAGGCCATCCTCAACAATGCTGCGCGCGGGAGGCGCCGACGTCGGTCCCGTTCGCGTATTCGGGTACGGGACCGACGTTGTCGGGTTCAAAGCCATCGAGCCAGTTTTGGCGTCGGATTGGCGCGTTTTCTCGCGCTTAGGGCAAACCGGGAGATGGGACGTTCATGTAAACGCGCCGTTCAAAGGGACCGAAACTGACCCGTTGACTTAACTTTACAAGGGTATTCAAATACGCCATCCCGTTTAGTTCGTGGTGACGACGCCGGAAGTGGCTTGCCAGGCAGAGACCAATTAGAGATTGCGCGTGGCGCAAGTAGGGCCGGATGCGACTTCTGGAACCTCAGAGTCAGGCTCCGTGCTCCCGGAGTAGCATGGTATGACTGTTTTGAAATTGATGGCACACATTTCTTTTTTCTAGTGTAAAATTTAAATGAATGGCTTATGAGCTGAAAATAAACCTTCCTTGTCTAGCACCAATACAGTGTAACGAGGTGGTTATTGAATGTTTTAGGCCTATAGTCAAAGCGGCGATATTGCACGGCGTGGACAGACACCACCCGGAGCGCGTGCTCATGGGGTTCGCCGTCATTTTCATCGTAGATACAGCGACTGGGTGTCCGGACACTTTGCGAGAAACAAGGCGGGTGGAAATTTGTAAAAGTACGATCTCTTTTTTTTTTTTATTATTTCAGCAAAATAATTAAATTTTGAACATAGTCATTCTAAAGGAAGCGATATGTTAGTAGTGCTCAACAAATTTGCGAATAGAATAGTCGATGTTTAAACAGCCCAGTTTACAAGTTGTTAACAATCGTGGGGGCTCGCTCTAAAATCGGACGGAAAATTCGGAGCTGTACGCATCAATTTCACATTTTTATCAGAGGTGTCTATTAGTGATGGAATTTGCTTCGTGAAATTTCAACGCGTAGCTGCCTTCCTGAAAAATGATGCCAACAGCCTTGACGTGTTCAACGGTGGACGTCGATACAGACGACGGAGTTGCGTGAGGGTTGTGCTTGTGGCGCCATCTCCCGGTAGAGGGAGGGAGCGGACAGCGGCAACGGCACTAAATTTACTATACAGGCATAGCCGCAACACAGAAGTGGCCTGGAAGGCCACTTCTCTGCGTAGGTACCGTAAGTGTGGGGAAGCCCACTTTTGGACCGCGGTGGGAGCTACGCTCTTACCGGTCCAATCAACAGCCTCCCTTTCATCACCTGACCCAGCTCTCCGCCCAAGGATATGGGCGAGAGCGTGATCACGTGGCGAAGGATTGACGTATGACTGGTCCCGCAGTCTCAGCTTAGGTGCGAACGAAGTGCAGCACGAGGATGATGTATATGACACCATATGGCCATCTCCATCATCTCTTTTGAATGCATTATGTAATCTTTTTTTTTATTTTTTAATAATCCCCAGACTAAGATCGATATATATATATATATATATATATATATATATATATATATATATATATATATAATGATGATGACTCCAATTCCAACGGTTCGTACCTTGATGTAAGCTCTCACGTTGACCACCTTCTCGACGAACAGAAAGTACTCTTCTGCATCAGATTGACATCGAACTTTCTTCAGCATGTTGTAGTAGTCTGAAGGGCTTCGGTAGAAGGTTGGGTTGCTGTTCCTTTTGACATCGCCTGAAAAAGAGGGTCAGGCGTCTCTGCCTTTCTGAGAACATTCCAGAGCTCTAACATACCTGCCCTTAGTAAAACAGTGGTTGTCACAAATGACTGAACCACCGCCTTATTCTTACAACCGTAAAATCGGGAGAAGATATAGTAACAATGCAAATCCCCGTTGATGTGGTATGCAGACGTTTCTTTCTTAGCATGCAGTCACTTACCTGAGCCTCCAGCCAAGCAGAGTGCACCGAGTTAAAAATGCGAAGATACATCCAGCGTGGACCACATAAAGTTCACCATTATGGAGCAAGCTCTTCTTATACGGTGCTTAGTGAGTGTAACTAATGCAGGAAATTGTCGACTGAGACCCGAAAAACACGGGCTTCGAGTCTCGAATAGGTCCCGTGTGGCCCCGTATACAGGCGGCATCATTCTTGATTTAGTAGAGTAAATTGACACAACTCACAACAGTAACTCTTTTTATATACCCTTTCTCATGGGCGTACAAACCGGGGGGGGGGGGGCGCTTGGCCCCCCCCCCCCCTCCCAGTTCTCAAAGTGGGGGGGGGGGCAAGGCATGTGTTTTGCCCCCCCCCCCCCTCCCCTTGAAACAGCCGCCACTGGGCAGTACAAACACTGGCTGGCGGCGCCCAAGGGATACCGAGGGCACCGCCTCCCGGCCCTTGGGGGGAAGGGGGGGGGGGGCGCTGGTTTGCCCCCCTCCCCTCAAAAACAAGTAGGTACGCCACTGCCCTTTCTCTTCTCTTCCTTTTACCAGCAATACATTCACTTGAATCAAAAGTAGATGCTGACAAATGTGTATGCTCGAATTTTTTTTTATTATCATCATGTCCCACCTACGCGGCAAGCCAATGTCCCAAAGTGCGCCCTTGGCGCATGGGAACGGGAGGAGGGCCACGCCAATCCAAAAACAACACAGAGAACGCGCGATGACATGGCAACCAAGAGCGCGCCGTCATTGCTTGACGAGCGAGCAAACGCTCGAGGGCGCATCATTTGGTATATAGCAGACGAATTTCCAGACTGTTCAAGCCTGAATCAGTTATCGTTGAAAGGGAGCTATGCTTGCGTCGCGAACACGGAGAACGCTGTCAACGACAGGACGTTAAACTCACCGGAAGGTTTGTAGCAGGACTCCCTGAGGAAGAGATGTCCGCCTTCCCTGAGCCAGCCGAAAATCTTTTCGAAGAGCGTGAGACATTCGGCATCGTCCAGGTACATGTAGAGCCAGTTGCTGAACACCACGTCCACCCTGCGTGACGTGATAGTCAAGCCACCGCGGGTGTGGGTGTTTTTCTATGACTTAATCCGGTAAGGTTTTTTTTATAAGGTTAAAGAAGCAAAAGCGTGGAAAACAAACAAAATTAGCACCCTTCCCCTCCCCCTTCACACCGTATATAGTATTTATTTATTCAGAAATACTGCCAAGCCCTGGGAGGAATTTTAGCAGGAAAGAGCAATAATTATATACATCATAGTTCACACCTCATCATCATAACATGCACGAAAAAAAATTGCTAACAATAATAGTCCAGCGGACTGTTGTTGTCATTCCTGTAAAATCAACAGCTATAGCACAATGGGTGTCCACGAGTGTCGAAAGTCTTATAATGTATCGATAGTTTAGATGAAACATACTCTAAAGAAAAATATCATATGCTTTGGGTTGTAAGATGTGAGGACCCTGCACGCAGGAAATTGATTTCATGCTTATACCGCCAGCCCGTCCACCGTGTTTATCGCCTTCTCTCATGAATCTTAATGTTGCGTATACCGCTATATTCATTCCTTTGCTCAACACTTGTTTTCGGAGCTAACCCAGCTCTGTCATTAACTTCGGCTAAAATATACCATATCTGTACTGGGAAAAAAAACATTCAACATTGAATACTGTAATGAATACAGACAATTTTGCTATGTTCATGGATTGTGACGGACCTAGAAAATGTAGATGGTCGGCTGGAGAAATGTTACCGCCACCTTACAACTGAAGCCAGACACGACGCTGCCTTTAAGAAATAAATGTATATATATATACTATATACCCTTGTTGTGGGCGTTCCAGCGTCATCACGTCTCCGTGCAGGAAGGACACGTTGTCCAGGTGTCCGTTCCTCTTCCTGTTTTGCTCCACGTAGGACTCCATGAAGTCAACCGCTGTCACGTGACCACAACGTGCCGCCAGTTTGTCCGTGAACCGCCTGCCAGCATCACAACATGAAAACACCCGTCTTTCGAGGCATCTCCGGAGCTCAGTCTCTTTCTATCTATAAACGTTGTTCATTCTGTTTTATTTTATTTATTTGGAACTTCAGATGGTACTGAATTGCCTTAGCGACAGACCGCACTTGCAAAACGAGCAAAGATCTCATTGTCACACCGAGAAAAAAAAAAGTTTGTTTATACGCTGCAAGAAGTAGTGCTTACAGGGTTTGGTTGCCGGGAGAAGAAACAATGGTTTTGGCGTTTGAAATGTCTTGATAAGCCAATGTGTATAACTAATATACAATGCACATTGTATCAATTAATTCACCGCATAAAAAGAGAAATTAATATTCCTCCGCGAAAAACCATTTTTTTTTTTTACTGTGGTTTTTGAGGTGTATACGAGTGTAGTCAACGTATGCGTAGTCAACAGCCAAAACAAAATAGAAACATACGCACATAGAGCACCACAAAAAACGCAAAACACCTGTATGCATATAACAATAAGCACAAATCAACGAAAAAAAATTATAACGTACTTGATATATAGATGTAACAATAAATACCAATCAACAAAAACAATTACAACTGACTTAGGAAATACATTGTTTATTGTTTCCTGAAGGTTAGCAGAGAGGAAGCATGTTCCATTTTATGCTATATCAGACGGACAGACGAAGGTGATTGTATTGCGATTCAGACATGAAAGTGAGCACAACTGGACTCTCTCTGTGGTGCAAAAAGGAGTGAATTAAATCCATCCCCTTACAGGATCTACATTATAATCCATTCCACTGATTATAATGCGGAGCATAAATCGGAGCTTAAATGTGCGAGATATAAGGTCTTCAAAGATACAAATGTTATCAAGCGAGCCCCGGCCGGTTGGAGTGTTTAGATATATTATATGTCTAGATGGAGACAATGGTTGAATGGAGAGCCTCCAGCACGTACCACAGTTAGTAAACGCAAATAAACTCTGAGCGGTGTAAAACGGAACCAAAAGCTACGTGCGCCGAGGACCGTCAGAGCGAGTGCATTTGGCAAAAATAGATCGGAAAATGGCCGAGATCTCACCAACCTGCATATGTCTCTAGCGCTATGTTTAAAGTAGAACCCCTCAACAAGCTACGCTCTAGAGCAGGTGTTAGCAACATGTTAACCTGCTGCAGTGGGCCAAATTGCCGCAAAGCGGAGCCTGAGCAAACCGGACGGGAAAACGGAAATGGAAGGGGGGGGGGGGGGGGTGGCTGTTAGTTTATAGGTATAGAAGATGAAAAACAAAAATACTGTCACATATTCGAAGTGATATGATTCAGACACATAGAGGTGCTCATCAGTCACTCGCAAAACCGACGTTTGAATTCATACATATATACGTGCAGTAGTTAACACCCCGATCCAGGCCGCTGCGATATTTTGTAGCAATTTGAAAACTCATATTCACGGAGGCCAGCGGAAAACACAGCAGTCGTTCGTTGCAAATCCATTATTCAGCTTATTGTCTGTTTGGGGAACTAGCTGAGCAGCACACTCTATATTGCTAAACTCTTGAGTGATACGCCCGATTACACAGGATTTGCAACCAAACATACCTCTGGCCCCGTAGAGTGTGCTTGAAAGGGGGGGGGGGGGGGGGGGATTTTTGATGGCGTGCAAGGGGCTGTATACTATTGCCTCGCGGGCCCTATAGGATGCCGAGCACTGCTCTAGGATAACGACACCTCCTCCATCCAGGTGCTTAAAATCCTTGTTACCAGTTATCTGAAGTGATCGGAAATCGCAGGAAACACTTTTCCGTCCTCCAGGAATGTTTACAACAGTTCGTCACAGAGCAAATTCGTATCGCCCGAGTTCGCTGACACTATAAAATCGCATTTTCGAATCGGCACTAAGCACCAAAATGGCGGCGGCCACAAGACACTCGGGAAATGGGGTGCCGATGCTCTATTTAGTGACTCTATATAAGCGTATTCACCTCAAGAACCTTCTCTACCTATACACGGCTCTACTCCCTTTTTATGTGGATAATTAAGATATGTGTAGGTCGCCAAAACCATCGCTTCTTTCTCCGACAAGCAACTCTTGTAAGAACTATATACTTCGCGCGGCATCTCGCAAATTCCTTTCGCGTTGGTAAGCGGCAAACGTTGCTTTTCCGAATTGTGAGTTCGCATTATCTGCTCCATTTTGGTGGGGAGAATTCACGGCAAATTTCTTTCCCATTGCATGAGCTTCAAATGTTGGTTTTTCGAAGGATTAATGCTATAGAATCATTAATGCTATCTAAGAGATTATTCACGCGTCTGCATGCCGTTGATGACATGCCATGATAATATAGAAAGATAAAACGCGATCACGTGGCAATGCGCCGAGAAACTGAGAAGAGGAGGAGCGGTGACGTCAGAACCCTGAGCTCTGATTGGAAAGATTAGTGGTTAGGCTTAAAGCTCGATGTGCCTTTGTCTCCACTGCGCTCGTCGAAGGAGTTAGAACACGCAACCCCGGCATCTGGCGTAATGGACCTTTTCCGAGAAGCGTTCTGCGCACGCGCGAGCGCCCGATGCCAAGCGGTCGAAGTCGGCACGAAAAATCGAGGAAATTCGGAATGAGGCTGTACATCGAAGAGTAGAACACCTAATGGCAGCACATATATAATTGTGTTACACACAAAAAAAAAAAAAGCGGACGGAAAGAAAAACACGACGTTTGAGTGGACGCTACGGATTTCCCTCTTTAAAGTCGCTTTGGGCACGCGACGCTGCTCAGAGAGCGAAGGAACTGGTAGCGTAGCTCCCATCATCGATTGGTAGCGCAGGTAGGTCACTTCCTCGATTTTTAGTTCGTGCAGCCACCGCCTGGTGCCGTCGGTATTTGGAAAAGGTCCATTGGCTCCCGCATTCGAATGCGTTCGATGAGTGCGGTGAAGACAAAGTGACAGCTAGCTTTGAATCTACTCACTAATCATTCCAATCAGAGATCGGCGTTCTGATGTCCACGTGCGCTCTCGCCTCCTCCTCTCCCTCAGTTTATCGGCGCATACTTTCACGGGCTTCTTCTGCCCGTCAGCCTATCTCTTGCATTTATATATCTAACGTATTTCAGCCGATAACATTGTTCTGCGTTTTTTTTTTCTTTTTTATTCGTTGGGTCGATAGCAGGATTAGTGCAGTCAAAAAGATAAAAGGTACGCCTACCCGATGCCGGCTCCAAGCTCGACCAGCGTCTTGCCAGACACGTCGGGCAGGTGCGATAGGATCTCGGCGTTCTCTTCGCGGTTGAGCATCTGCGCCCTGGGATCGAGCATCATGCTCTCCAGGCTGGGGTTGAAGTGCTCCCAGTAGTCGTGCATCACGTCTCGGGTGTCCGCTTGGCCGCCATTGATTTGCAGCCTGTTCGCTGTAGGAAACGACAGAGGAAGAATGCTTCCGTGCGAATGCGAGCACTTCCCGCTCTCTATAAGACGCACCGCTGCGGAAATTGCAGTTTTCACACACACACATATACCAAAACAAAAAAGTTGGTGCATACAAGTCGTGAAAGTCGCAGCTATGTATTCCTACGATGGGGGCGGTGAAACTGCGTAAACAAGTTAATAAGTTAAATAAAATAATAAATAAAATAAGTTTCAATATTCTCGTCAACGGATCGAACAATAAATTTTATTTATTTTATTTTCAAAATACTGCCAATCCCCATTGAGGGATTATAGCAGGTATGGTACAAATAAAAACAACAGACACAATTTTTGAGGCGCGCGAAAATAAGTAATTCTTAGAAATCGTCACTTCCTTTCATATTGAAACAAACGAAACAGAACAGAACAGAAAGAACTAACTGACGAACTTGCTGAGAAGGTCTTGTTCAAGAGCTTGAATGAACGCATCCACATTGGTGTAGCTAAAAAACAGCGGATCAAGGCTGTTCCAATCTCTTACAGCTGAAGGAAAGAAAGAGTACCTAAAAGTATTATTATTGAAAGAGTATTCAGTTAATGTATTGCAGTGTTTATGTCTTGTTGTTCTTGCCTGGGAAAAATTCACATACTTGTTCTTGTCCATTTTAAAGGCGTCGTTTAAAAGGTTTGTGTAGGAATGCAACAAAACCCGTAGCAAATTACTAAAAAAAAAAACGGATATAAGTTGCAGCGTTGGATATCTACCAACGCAAATCTTGAAGAGAAAAAACAAAAACAAAAAAAAAGCACGCGACTTATAGACAGGAGAGCACAATAATGTAAAAGGGAACGGTTTTTTTTCTTTTTTTTTTCATGGTTGATTTTGTTGCAGAACTACAAAACTATAGACCGTTTCAACTTGAGAAGGTAGGACGAGGGTAAGGCGGGCCGGGGAGGAGGAAACAGATGGAACGCTGGAGAAGAGAGAGGGAAATCTGCGACCAAAAGGTAAGGGCACAAACGAGCTGGTGGCGGTTAAACATTTCGAAAAAAACCCGAGACTGGGACAATAAAGACGGACAAACACAAAATCTCAAACACAGCTGAATTTTATTTGACTAAGAAGGGTGCTTATACAGGCGTCAAATCCTACACAAATCAAAAGAGACGAAGGAAAGAGAGGGAGAAACCTACACAAAAGAAAAGAGACGAAAGAAAGAGAGGGAGAATTGGGGAAACCCGTGCCACAAGCAGTACAACAAAAAAACAAGTATTACAAAAGAACTGAGAAGTGGTGTGATCGTTTATACAAAAACAAAAGCAAAGCAGAAGGACTAAAGTGCATTAGTCCCCAAGAAACCCCAACACTATAACAGTGTTGGGGTTTCTCCTTCTCCCTTTAGCGTTCCGTCTGCTTCCTCCTCCGCGGCCCGTCTTACCCTCGCCCCAGAGCCTTGGGCTCTGCCTCGCCCTACCTTCTTGAAAGTCAAATTTGGGGGGATTTACGTGCCAAACCTACGACGGGCATCTGGCACGCCCCAGCGGACGACTGAGGATTAATTTGGACCACCTGGGGATCTTTTGACGTGCAACCGAAAGCTCGGTTACACGGCGCCTTCTCCGCAATAAGCCTCCGTCAGATTGCGGGCACCTCGGTCGGGATTCGAACCCGCCACCTGGGGATCCGTAGGCCGGCGCTCTCGCCTCGGAGCCACCGAGGCGGCTCCCTACCTTTTTGAGTTGCGAGACGTCTGTTCGCCGCTAAGCTGACAGTGCGGTAGAAGCTACATGCTTGTTGGACCAGTCATTGGCTTATATTTCGTCACGTGATAACCGCTGAGTTCCTCCCACATATCCACAAGCAGAGGTGATAAAAGGAAAGCGGTTGATTGGTCCGGCGAGCTCGTAGTTCCCACTGCACTGTCAACTTAGGGGTGAATACGGGGGGTCTCAAAACACGTCTTTGACGGGATCCGGACATTTCGGTGTTGGACGTTTCGGTGTTGGACGTTTCGGTGTAGTGCGTTTCGGTGTAGTGCGTTTCGGTGCGGTCTTTTCGGTGCACGGACTTTTCGGTGCACGGACGTTTCGGTGCACGGGCATTTCGGAACACAGGAAATCAAAATCACGTTGTTTTTTTTTGTTTGTGTCTTGTTTTGTTTTGTAATAAGCACGATTTTAGCTAGAAATTTATTTTTTCGCACTTTATAAATTTGTAGACTTGGTCATCTATTTATGGTCACTTACTCATATACGACCTAAGTGACTTTGTTAGGCGCAGCACCGTCTTGCGGGAGGACTGGGTACGTTGGACATTATGTTTAATTTGCCGGTGTCTCTTCTCCAACGTACGCACTAGACGCATCACATGTGTTTACGCGTTGGGTCGGTACAGCCGTTCTCGGCGCCTTCTGTAAAGGTGTGGGCTTTATCATTCGTAATCTGTTTAGGAAAGGCACCAACAGCAAGAAGCTTAAAGGAGCGGTGAAACAATATTCAATTAAAATCTTTTTTTTTTGTTTTGTTTTTTTCACTTTACACGAGCTTTCTGGCGCTAGTGGGACCCAAGGATACTCGCACGCAACACCACTAGCCAAGAAACTCCTTTGTTGCGGCGAAATTTCAAAGACAAAAGCGATCATTTTCATTCAATCTCTCCTTCGCAAAATCTGATGACGTTACGCGGGGATCGCAGTACACCCATATGACGATATTTGAATGCGGTTCATAGATTCGACCCGAGCATTGCGTGGGGCACTTGATTGGGGCTCGTGATAATTACAATCGTTGAGAACACGAATGCCTTTCTTCCCTATTTTTAAGCGATGGGGAAGAAATGTTGCCCAACGGAGCATTACACAGGCCAAGCAAAATGCATTAGCGGATGTAGCCCGCAAGCGCTCACGATTGTACTCTATGGAAGGTAACATTTTCATAGTACGTTGATCTTTATAGAATTACGTCCATAAAAAGTAAACATACTTTAGGTTCTCTTCCTCTCGCTTATTACGGATCCCCAAGAAAACGGGACATGCGGTGTCATTGAGACAAAATGACGGGACAGCAGTGAAGCTCTAAAATGGGACTGGTCCGGCCATAACTGGACATATAATCGCCCTATTGTTATTGCAATTATTCCTATTACCTTTCAAGCGGCCATGCACAGCAAGGACGAAAGATGATACAAGGAGTTGGTTTGACTTCATTAAAGTACCGTCATGGTGCAGGCCACCTGAGGCCACGGGAGCGCAACAGGAGCACGTAATACAAGAAAGTCTTCATCTCAGAGTATTCCCTCTGGTAGTCCACTGGGGCACGCGCCTGTAGTCGGTGGATACGACAACCGCCTTAGCCACCCAATGCTCCTCGTGAAAAAAAGGGCCAAGTCGATTGTTTTGTCGATCTTCCCCCTGAACGTGCTTACCGTTGGCTAAACACCAAGGCATACTTATGTTACGCTTCCAGGAAGTTGTGAAAAGATGCCCACCGACATATAAAGCGCAATAAGATGGCTACCTCATTGATTGCATCAATTGATTCAACTGAGTTTTTAATTCCCTTTGAGTTTTTAATCCCGTTCAAAGCCTTCCAAGAGATTGCCTCTCGAAAACTCCATCTTCAGAGTTCATGCGTTGTGTCGCGTGCTTTGCTCGCTTCCCGAAGCCACGGGTACACACGCGTGCTGGACAACGGAAATCGCACGCTGCACTGTGGATTTGTAATAATATTTATTCAAATCGGAAAGAGTTGCGACACCACACAAGGCGAGGAGCCCTTACCAGGAAGTCTGTAGTGGAAAGGTAGCGCCTATCACAAAGGCGAAAATTGCTGAGTCACCGCGCTGTGGACTGATAAAGAGAGCTACTGCGCATGCCCAGAACAGCTTCCACGGACCAATAAACAAAGACCACAACGCACAGTAGGAGAATATGATAATCCAAAAGGGAGGAAGGGGGAGGGAGGTTCATGCTTGACGCGCGAAAACAAAATACCAACGTTAACACTGAAATAGAAAAAAAGAAACGACGTTATTTACCTTTCAGAAGACTCATACCGCTCCTCGCAAGGCGCACAAAAATAGGAGGGTTTAAATCCTTTGTATACAACTACAATCCACGCACCGGTCAAGAAACAGCAGCAAACGTTGATAGCATGTGGTCGGCGCACGACCTTATATGTATATATATAGCGTACGACATTTACTGGGCTTGTGGATACAAGGAAGCGCCACGACGGACAAAAGAAGAAAAAAAAAACTGGGCAAATCGCGCGGTCTTCCGACATCATCCTGAAGCCGTGATGCCAGCGTTTAGCCTATCCGATAACGGTTAGCTTATCAAGTGCCTGGTGATCTCCTCGGAGCAAGGCTCGAGAGCTCTGGAATTTCTACGCCACCCACCGAAGTACGTCGCGTTGCTCAGATTGGACAGGCGGCGAGGTGTTTCGGTGGCTCCCTCTTATTGGTTTCTATCGCTGACGTAACAAACTTTCGGCCCGGACCATGTCCAACCAGCGAGAGCACGAGTGCCAGCCGCACACTCGTATCCGTACTCCCCGGAGGCTTCCCGTACAGCTGACGTAGAAAACCAACACTATGGGCCTTGTTATTCAAGAGCTGCTGCTCGGACACTCTGTCTTTTAGAGAGCCAATCGCCTGCTCCGATAGAGGCTCCCATTTATCTCAATCTCTCGTGACCGTCAGTTCTAACTGGAACACGCGTGTGGTCCTGTACTCGTGCTTGAGGATGCTGCGCGGGTCTATCTTCTTCCG